TTTGTCCAAGGAAATGGATTCCCAATCTGAGCCCAGTGGAGCTTCTCCCTGCTGTGGGTGACGGGGTGGGGAGAAGGTGGTTGTGCCTCAGTCTATTGTGGAGCTTTATAATAACACAAGTGTCCATCTTGGACACTTACCTGCCTGGAGACTCCCATTCAGGAGGTCTGGGGCAGGGCCTTGGGCCTCCTTTAAGAATCAAAGTTCCCCCTCCCTTTTATGGAGTTCCTCTCAATGAGTTCTTCAGTCTATGGCAGGGGTCCTCAAACTTTTTAAACAGGGGGCCAGTTCACTGTCCCTCAGACCGTTGGAGGGCCGGACTATAGTTTAAAAAGAAACTATGAACAAATTCCTATGCACACTGCACATATCTTATTTTGAAGTAAAAAAACAAAACGGGAACAAATACAATATTTGTATTTGCATGTGGCCCGCGGGCCGTAGTTTGAGGACCCCTGGTCTATGGAGTCACGCAAAGGTCCACAGTGACATCAGCTGCTGGAAACACTGCTCTGAAGCCGACTCGTTGGTTTTACTAAACTTAGCAAGCAAATGCTTGTGGGACACAAAGCTTATTGTGAACAAACACTTAATTTAAGAACAGCAGTGCAGCCCAGGCAAAATACAACCATTTGAATTAGCCAAGTAATGGAGACAAAGGCAAAGTGATTCCTGTTGCCTGAATTATCCAGATAATTAAGTCCCTGTACTTAACTTTGCTGTGGCAAGCTTGTCTCAATAAATCAGTAGCGCAATCCCCACGTACCTAATGTCCTGCTCCAAAACTTGGCCAACCTCCTTTTTTTCCTGAAAAAATGAAAAAATTCGGGAGAAGCCAGTTACCTAAAATTACTTAGCAACAATTGCAGGTTTTGCAAAGCTATCTTTTCAGCCACTTGAGGGCACAGTTCGCTCACTTTCTAGATTCAGCTGCAATTTGCTATCTTTCCTATTACAAAGGCAATTATTATGATTTTATTAAAGGAAAACACACATTTTACTTTTTGCCTTTGAAGTGTAGGAGCAAAAACAAAACAAAACAAACAAACAAACAAAATCACGGGAAAGTGTTCCAGTATTCCAAGAGATTGCTGTTGTCATTTTTTGCAAAGCATTTTATTTTGACCTGTCAGCTTCTGCCTTCATTCATTAGTAAGTCATGACCTTAGAAATCTGGAACTTTTTGGAAGATATAGTAGGGATACACATTGAGATCTATATACTGTGGTTAGAGAGAGAGAGTGAAATCTCATCTGTGAGAGGTGTTGTTCACTATACATATTTACACATTGACCGATCCTGACTCACATACAGAACTAAAAGAATGTGGGTGAGGCAGTAATGAAATCATGTTAAGGAGGTTCCATGTACATTAATGTCACTGACTCTACAAGTCACAACTCCACATTATACTCATTCATTTTGAGTCGACCATGCTTTTGTGTTACTGCCTATTAACAACTGTCCTAACAAAAAACCCTGCTCTGTCTATTTAATGATGGCAAATACGTTCTTCACAGAGCCCTTACAGAGAATTCAGCATGAAGGTTCACGAAACATCTTATTTTTTTTCATGTGTTTGGAGTATGAGGTTGGGGGCAGACGCAATAGAAATGGTGATGAACGTAAGGCAAATCTGGGCTTGCATTTGATTGCGATGAGGCATAGTTTGCCTAGATTAGAAGGAGCCTCCTAAAGTCCAAAAAAAGCCTTCTTTCTTTGATTTCTATGGTTTTGTTAGTTTTTTAATTATTATTTTAAAATTAGTTCTTTGAAGTGGCTTGTCTTCTGGCGAGATAGCCTTTGGGGAATTGTTCTCTCTTATTTCTTTTGTTATTGGGGTTGGGAGGGTAAAAATCTTTTCTACTTTTTAGCTTTTTCATCCTTAGTTTTGTCTTTCCTGTGTACTCTATTGGTGGCCCAAAGATCAGCATCCACCCACTCCTCCCAAGTGTTTGGCCATCTCTAAAGCAGAGGCATTTTAACAGCTCTCTGTTAATGGATGTCCTGTGGTTTCAAGGCCTCAGACAAGCTGCCCTTGACCCCTTTCAGCAGAAGTCAGAATGCTCTGGGTGAAATATTACATGCTGTGTCACCGCCACCAGCTTCCCAGGGAAAGAGTGGGTTTGGGTGGAGGCAATGCTGGCTAGCCCCGCAGCGCAAAGCAAAATAGAACTATGAGTAGGGAAGGACTGAGTTTTGACAATGTAACAAGATCATTTTTTAGAAACCATGGCTAACCAGTTGTATGTCATGAATTTTTTATCATTAAAAATGAATTTCATTTATCCACTGGCCTAAACCCCAGAAACGTAATAAAACTTCCAAAACTGTGCGGTTCCAACTCATTTGTTTTATCTTCTTTGTTTGACAACCTTCAAAATGTAAGCTGAGATCCATGCAACAGGGTGGGAATATAAATATTATGGTTTAATAAAGATAAAAGTAGAGAAACTCAACTTAGTGGCTAATTTTAATGATTTTTTTTACCCGATCTCCATGCCTAAGCTAAAAATTATGCATTTAGCAACAAGAATATCATTTCTCAGCATTTCCTAGACTTGTAGTTTTTACTAGTAAAACCAAGCCTGTGGTTGCTTTGTATCGATCCACTTGCTTGTGGGGGTGAGTGACATGGGCGGTGTTTTCTCTCCTGTCAAAATTTCCTCCCTGGGTTCACAGATAGGAAGCAGACCAGTTTCTTTATCTTATTAATAGATTTCCATTTCTGTTATGCCAAGGCACCAGTTGATGTCCTCAAAGATGACATACACAAATACACCATAGACTATGTCTCACTTTTGAGAAAGTAAGAAAGGAGTCACACTTAGACACCTTAGAATGCTGACTCATTTTCCAGCTGAGGATTGGGTGAATTTGCCGCCCAGAGCAGGAACAGGGGAATTCTTCTCCAGTTAATTGTATTCTATCCCTTTCCCCCCTGATACAGATCTTCTGAGCTTGCTTGTCCTTCCCTTTGCTCCCATGATTGTCAAGGTGAGAACCTGGCATCCCTCAGTGCATCTTTGCAGAAAGCTCCCTGTGCTCCTCAGGCTAGACTCATCTCAAGCTCAGGGTTCTGTCCAGTTCTCGCATCATTGGCCTTTATGTTTCCTGGTTGAAAAGCTTTTTATGTCACAGATGTCGAGCCAAATGCTACCAATGAACACCCCATCCAGGACATTTAGAGGCTACCGTAATTCTTTCATACCATGAATGAGATATTCTTACTGGGGAGAGGAGAAGAGAGGGGGGATAATTCATTTTCCTTGGGCAGGTTTTCTTTCACTCTAATGGTCACCCAACCCGAATGAAGAGATTGATCAATGGCTGCTTCCTCTTTTGGAGAGAACAAACATCAAGTTAGTGGTCTGTCCTTTGTAAAAAAGCAAAATGATAACAATTATCCCCAACCCCCTCCCTACAATAGTTTGAAACCACCTCCAAAACCCAAACAAGCCTTCTCTCCCACCAAGTATCCAAAGCAAGTATATGTTTCTAGATGGAGGTAGTGGGGGCATCTGGACAATTTATTCTTATTTATTCAAATAATGCAGCTGTTTGCTCCAATTCCAATACTTTCTCCTCCAACCCAAACTGAGGCAACTAACAATATTAAAAACATCAGGAATGATCAGGCAAGCATTTTAATGAATAATACTGATTTATTCGTTGTTTGTTTTTAATGGATAGAGGACCAATAAAGGCTCTGCCCCAAACCAAAAGAAAAACAAAGGTCAGCTTCAGCAACAGCAGAAATGGGAAATTTTCTGGTATGTGTATGTGCTTTCATTAGCTGGCAGATTTGTTTTAGGAAACTATTTGCAAAGCCTGGAAAAAATGTGCTCCCTCCGTCCCTTAAAAGAACATGCAGGTTGGTTCATGTTAGTCATTCACGTGACAATTTTGACTGGTGGTCTTTTAAAATATGCAACCCCATCTAGATTTGGCATTGGAACGATATCTTCAAACTTGAATTTTTGCTTTTTTATAAAACCAAATATTGAAACGTATGTGTTGTTTTTACTTGGAGTAGGTTTTCATTAAAAATTTGTTGTTTTAGCCCAGCCAGCTTGGTTCAGTGGTTGAACTTCAGCCCAGGAACCAAGAGATCACTGGTTCGACTTCCAGTCAGGGCACATGCCTTGGTTGCAGGCTCGATCCCGATAAGAGGGCCTGTAGGAGCAGCCAATTGATGATGTTTCTCTATCATCAATGTTTCTATCTCTCTATCTCTCTCCTTTCCTCTTTCTCTAAAAATCAAGAAAAATGTATTTTTAAAAAATAAAATAATTTTTTTATTTTTTTTAAAAAAGGACACTGAAAATAGGGTTCTAATAAACCAAGCTCGACGTGTTTAACAAATTCTGAGCCTTCCCCATGTGGGAATCACAAGAAATATCCAGATAACCCATACCATGGGTTCCATGGGGATAGCTGAGAGTTGGAAGAAAGGCAATTATCCAGTGAGCCTTTTGACTATTTTGTCAATGTCAAGTTTTTAAAAGCTTTAGAAAAAAAATTGTGGAATAAAAACTTTGGATTTTGGTACCTTCCCACCTGCCCTTGCTTTGTCACTCTCCTTGTCACCTTAAGCATCCAGATCTTCCCGGATCAGTGCCTCGTGATTAATAATCACCCTTTCTTCACTCATACCTGCAGTCCATAATCCATCCTCTTTGTAAGAAGAACAGGAACTGAGTAAACTAATTCATACAAAGATGGGAGCGAATGATATGTAGACCACTTAATACATTAAATCTGGTAAGCAGTGTTTCAAAAGAGTATTTAGTAATATGGATATCTTAATTCATAAAATGTCAGTTCCACAAAGTATGGTTTAATTTCTTTTTTTAATTACAGTGTACATTCAATATTATTTTGTATTAGTTTCAGGTGTACAGCATAGTGGTCAACAAAGTATTGTTTTTAAAAAATTTCAAGCAAAGTTAGATTTTTAAAGAATGTCATTTCATTGATTTTAGAGAGAGAGGCAGACAGATCGACATCAACTTGTTGTTCCACTTATTTATACATTTACTGGTTTCTTTCATGTGCCCTAACTGGGGGTTGAACCTGCAACCTTGGTGTATCTGGACGATGCACTAACCAACTGAGCTACCCCGGCAGGGCCTAGAGATTTACTTTTTCTTAAAGTAGTCAGTTTTCCACAGCAGGTTTCAAATGTTTATGTATTTGTGATTCTTTTCACTGTGAATCTGATCCAGATAAGACCTAAAAACATCCCAACTTTCCTATTGGGTCTTTTGCTATTGAAAAGTAGTTGGACTTTTCTTAAACAAGTGAGTGGATTTTAAGGAGAGTTCAGGTACTTTTACCTGTTTCTAAAAGGGAACATTCTCTTTGCCCCAGCTTGAGGTCCTGCTTTATTTAACAGGAGGAATGCTGATTTTCCAAGCCCTTTCTTAAGAGGAATTGTTACCTTTCTCATAAGAAGAAGGGGTGGAAATTGAGGTAATGGAAGAGGTACTCTGAAAATATAGGATATGTGAGCATGTAGTCCATGTTCAAAGACAAATTATTATTAGTAATAGTTGTTCAATATCCATAGTTGTTCAAGACACCATATCGGATGTTCAAATTGTAGTTCATCAATTGGGAAAGAATGGATTATTTTTCCCTTCAAAATCTTTAAAAAGTGGTGTAATAACAAGTATAAGAGTTTGCTGGCTTTCTATTTGTTTCTCTTGCTCTCATTTGATTTCTGTTTTAGAGTGCATTTTTAAAAACATAACATGACGAGAGAGAGAGAATATTGGGTCATTTATTGTAGTGTTTCTAAACAATTTGGGTAACATTTTGTCTCCAGCTACTTAACTGCATTTGCTTGTTGCGGGGGCGGGGTTAGAGGTCCCTGATGTTCAGAATACAGAGCCAGCATTTACACAAAACATTGCAGCCTGGCCCACAGAGCAGGGGTTACTAAGGGGCAAGCTGCTGCTCAGGACAACACCCCCAGCGCCTCCTTCTAATCTTGTGCCATTTCCCAGGACAGGCAGCCTTGTGTGGACTCTGACTTGTGCCCTAGAACAGGATTCATGCTCCGTTTTCCTTGCTGATTCCTGAAGACGGAACATTCTCTTCACCCTACACATCAGGGGTTTTCTTTCCATTTTTCACTGTTTCCTTTGTGAGTTTGTGCTTTGATTTAACCTAAAGTATTAGAAATAGGAATAAACACAAGACATGGCATTAGACCATGACATAACAGGACAGGATATGGCAAATGTTTTATGTTTGTGCATTTATTTATAAACTTTCCCATTCTAAAAAGTATCTGAGGCAGCTTATGGAGATTGTAAAACAAGGCATAAGATTTCTGGGTGAAAAGAAAATAAGGAGAGGGAAATCCATCTAAACCTGGATAAGGTTAATACTCAGAATATATCTTAAGGTTCTTGACAGTTCCTTAAAAAGTGGTTGTGCCCTAGCCGGTTTGGCTCAGTGGATACAACATCGGGCTGCAGACTGAAGGGTCCCAGGTTCAATTCCGGTCAAGAGCACATGTCCAGGTTGCAGGCTCGATCCTCAGTAGGGAGCGTGCAAAGGCAGCCAATCAATGATTCTCTCTCATCATTGATGTTTCTCTTTCTCTCTCCCTTTCCCTTCCTCTCTGAAATCAATAAAAAATATATTTTTTAAGAAGTCGGTTGCAAATTTGCCTTTGAGCTTCCTAGCAGCCAAGCAAACAAAAGGAAACACAATAAATGACAAGATTCATGTGTCCATCGAAGAGACCAGGTCTCAAACTTGACTGTGCATTTGAAATCACCTGGGGTGTTGTTAAAACGCAGGTTCTGATTCAGCAAGTCACTGGTGAGTCCTAACTGGCCCAGGTGATTTTGATGCTGACGCTGCTCCTCCCTGGGCCGTTCTTAGAGTACCAAAGTCTCAGCTCTGCGTAAGTGTGCATTTACAACGCCTGCTCCCACCTAATACATATAGCCATGTTTGGCTTGCAGGTTTCCCAGGTAATTCCAGAATGTACCTAATATTGAGCTCTAATATTTCTAACTTCACTTGCTCTTGATGTATTGAAAATATCAAAACCTCTACCACCGAGGGACAGTAGTTATTCTCATCTTCTAAGTTAACTATGTTATTTAAACCTTTTTTAAAAAAATATTTGTTTGAGGAAACATTCTTTAGCCCTTGTAAATAATACAATAGAAGACCACATTATAATGTTCTTGTGAGTCTGATTGTTGACCAAAGATACTGTTTACGGTTGTTCTTAGAAATAGCAATGATTATGGGCAACAGATCTAGTATTAGCTTCAGAGCACCCAGATCTGAATTGCACCGTGCTAGCTGTGTTACCTCCTGCGAGTTATGCATCCTCTCTGTGCTTCAGTTTTATCATCTACCTAATGAGCCTCATTGTAGTACCTGTCAAAGGTCAAAGGTACTATTAGAATAGTGTCTTCACATAGTAAGAATTAAAAAACCTTAGCCAAATAAATTTTCCTTAAGAAATAAAATAAATTTTCCTGGCAGTGAGTGTGAATGATAAGTAAAAAACACCTCCTCAGAAACACCTCCTCAGTTGCTCACCTTGCATAAGTACCATAAAATAATTTGGAATTTTCTTTGGAATAAAAGACACCAGATAACTGTAAGATATTGTTGATATTAATAGGCATTTGAATTTTGTCTGGTTGGACTCAAAGCCTGCTGTTAACAAATTACTAAAGGGAGTAAGAGGCACCAACCTGCCCTAACCGGTTTTGCTCAGTGGATAGAGCGTCAGCCTGCAGACTGAAGGTTCGATTCCGGTCAAGGGCATGTACCTTGGTTGCAGGCACATACCCAGTAGGGAGTGTGCAAGAGGCAGCTGATAGATGTTTCTCTCATCGATGTTTCTAACTCTCTATCCCTCTCCCTTCCTCTCTGTAAAAAATCAATAAAATATATTTTAAAAGAAAAAAGAGGTACCAACCTTTTCCCGTAGCCTTTTAATGAGGGTATTTCGTTTGCGCAATTGGTTTTGCTGCATTTCCACTTCCGCAAATAGCTCATCAATTCTTTGGGTCTGTCTTTGCAAAAAGGGCTAGAGAGGGAGAGTTTTAAAGCACAAGGAAAGGAAAAGAAATTACTTTGAAATTGCCAGAAGAGGTTGGCGAGCTTTTTCTATATAAAGCTGTTTCAGCAGTTCCAGCAGAGAGCCAGGTGCTAATTGCCTAGCTAGTCTACTTCACCCCAGTGCATATTGCTAGTGGTCGCTATAAAACCATCAAGCTAGAAGAAAACTAATAAAATAGAAAAACCGATTTCTTGGTATTTTATCCTTTCCCTTCCTGATATCTATATCCAAGAACCTTTTTAAAACCCCCCCAAAAGCATCTGACCACATCATTTAAAACATTAGGATGCACCCACCTTCTCATTTGTTATATACAGTATACTTTAATATAACTTTATAGCAGTCTGCAAAGTAGGAGGAAGTAATTTTCACCTGTAGGTTAAATTCAGTAGAGTGGTTGTTGACTAATTGAGAAAACGTTGCAGTTGGTAAGCATTTAATGTAAAATGCATTAGTTTTGGTTTTGAGCTTTTACTTTTTGTATTTTGGAGCTGATTACTTTTCAAGGCACAGACATTTTTGTGGAACCCTAAAATGTTCATAGATATTAGGCTCTGTGCGTATCATCCTGAGAGAACTAAGGCCCTGCTCACAGCCCAGTCCCAGATCACAGCAGGAAATCATCAAACACTCACACGCTTGTAAGGAAACGGATTTTAGTGATTAGATGGAACTAGTCAAAAAAGACTGGTGAAAAAGAGCATTTTGTCATTTTTCTGAGGGGCTGTGAGGAGGGGGAGAGGGTGTATCAGAGAAAAAGAGAGACTGGAGGGAGACAGAAAGAGAGAGACACACACACACGCACAGATTAAAGGCAGGCAGACATAGAGAGACAGAGACAGAAAGAGCCTGAAAGATGGAGAGAGAAACCCAGAGAGACTGATGGGTTCCCTAAGTGACATATATTAAGATCTCATAGTCCTGTAGATGGTTTAGAGTTGTATTTTGAAGTTCACTCAGCTGTTTCACACAATCCTGATAAGTAGATAATCTTCATGGGTGTCATATTTTTGCAGTTTACAGCAAAGCACTTATCAGGTATCATTGAATTGAAACTTAACTCCAATCTTTTTATTACAGGTGAGGAAATTGATTTGTCCACCACATTTGTAGAGAATTTTGTGATTTTTTTAAAGGACTGTTCCACTTATTAACTTATTTGGTAAGGGCCACTAATCACAGGTCTCCATATAAGTCCATCTTCCCTGGGATAACGGTAGCTTAAATTACGGGCATTACTGTCATTCAAAGGACTGTAGAGATACCCTAAGCCGCAGAATCAGCAATTTTTTGTTTTGTCTTTTAAAAAGTACATATTTGGTATTAGTACCCTATTACAGCTTTTGTATTGAAATAAAAGAAAGAAAACCAAAATTGACACCAAGTTCATTCAAAAATCATATTTACTTTTTTCATTTCTCCATATCATCTTCTAGCTGTAACCCTTTCATGCATATTTAATTTTTGAATATTTGCAGCCCTGTCATAGATAACATTTTATATCCTGAATTTTCACTCAACATTCTGAGTACAAGCCATTTGATTCACTTCAGTCTCACTTTCAAAAAGATATATAAGAAGCACCAAGGATTGTGTGACTTTGAACAACTACTGTTACTCCTTTGGCTCTCTGGGAATCCCAAGGCCGTGTACATAAAATGTTCTCAGAAAATAGGAAGCTAGCTTTTTGCTTTATTACATGATTGAGTGTTCCTCCACCCACTCCTTGGGAGCAAGTGACACAAATATATTTTTTTTTAATTCTAAACATGGTTTAGGTTGCCATTACCAGCAATGGCAGATACATTAGCATTTGCATCAATAGGGTTAATCGGCACCATCATTCTTCTTACCCAGGCTTTCTCACAGCAAAATTATTCCAACTTTATGAGTCTTACTTTGGGGGTCTATTTTCCAATAGAATAATATTTCTACTTAAAATAATAATAATAGTGTTAAAATCATATTTTATTTCCAGTAAAATAATGGTCAATTAAAATGACCAACAATGATCTACTCACCATAATGTCGCCCATCACTTCTGTCAGAGGAAGCCCACCTGCCTTGAAGAACACAGCATCCTCCATCTTCTGCTCCAGCAAGTTTAGCCTCTCATTGAATTTCTCTCTGTCCTTTATCCCGGCAACCATCTGCTGCTGGAGCTCAGCAACCAGCTGATGGAGGTCTTCATTCCTCTTGTCGAGCTGCTCAGCTCTCCTCTCCAGGTCCTCTTTCTTTCCCTCCTGCTGGCTGACGTGATTTAGAAGCTCAACTAAAGAGGTATTCAGAGAGTCCAGTTGTTTAAACAGGTGGCCGATGTGATTTTTGCTCAAGATCACTTGCATCTTGAGCTCCACTCCAAGCTGTAGAAGCCCCTGAGAGAGGACATTGATGTCATCTTGGAAATAGGGGACAGGGGCATGCCTTTCTCCTTGTCTCCTTGCACTGGATAAAGAATAGGCTAAACTGAGGAGAAGCCACACTGATGTTTTTTGCATTGTGGCTTTGAAAGACTTCAAGGTCCCTTGGGGGAACCTGTTTTCAGCAAAGAAAGTAGAAGACGGTCCCAAGACAGTAAAGAGCAGAAAGAGTTTGCTCTAAGAATGAGCAAATTCCACAACATTATCCTCTAACTTCCTGGAGCTGCTAAATCACAGCGGTTTATAAATTCGTTAAGAGGCTATGGCTGAATCAGTGGAAAGAATTCGGAGTTTCCAAAACAGTTTGTAATCGAGAGAAGCCATCTGAAGGAGCTCTGGAAGAACATCGTTGATGAATACCAAATGTCCTGTTCTTGGTTGTGATGCATATGACTGAAGAAAGCCATTTTTCTTGGGGAACGATGAGATTAAACTAAGTGCCTTGCACATGCACTGGGCCTGTAGGTACTAAGGAGTTTTCAAGATAATGTTGCTATACGAAGCGATTCCTATTTTGGTTATGGGCTATCCTCTCAAAAATCATTATATAATTCTCAGGATTTTCTCTAGGTAATATGAGACAATTTACCACATATATATTATATGCACCTGTTTATCAGTTTGTTAATAATTACTCTTATCTGGTTTAGGCTCTGTGGGTTATTGACCATGCAGGCAGATCTTCCTTCCCAATAGAAAACATTATTTTTTAATATTCATTTCTTTAAAAGCATGCAGATTTAACAGAACATGTCACTTGGTATATTTGCCATTAAGAAATAGGACGAACGTTGGAAAATGCATCTTCTTAAAAAAATGTTTAGGCAAAGTTATTTAACCTCCCTGAGAGTCTGGCCTTGCAGAAAGGGATGTTGGACTAAATTCTCTCAGTTTCCCTTAGCTCTGTACTCTGTGGGAAGTGTATTCAGTACCAGGCAGGACACTGAATGCCCATGGTGATGTTGTTTACACGTAGGGGTCAGCAACCCCTTTGAAAGCAACGTGCAAAATTGTTGACCAGTGTTGGGGGATGTGTGAGACAGGTGGGTGGTGGCCCTATATTGGAATGTAGGAGAGAAGTGTAGTGACAGCTAACTTGCTTAACCAGTCTGGCAGGGCTATTACTGTTGTGATTTACACAGACCCTTTCATCTAGCTACTTCAAAGCATTTTACAAACTCGGGCTCATTATTTCTTCAAGCACAGCATAAAGAAAGGTTGATCGGTGTCTCTCTAATTAATTCAAAGATGAAGAACTATATAGAACTAAAAGGGATTCTTCCCAAAGTACACTACATTGCAGAAGGGCAATACATATATATATATACATACATACATATATAAAGGGTTTATCATCGCTTTATAATATTAAAAAAAGGAAATCATCTAAATGATTATTCTTGGAGACTAATATAAGTTATGGCACATTCATAATAAGGTATATCATATATCCATTAAAATCAGGTTTATTAAGAATATTTGCTCTTCCCATAAGCGGCCTGAGGTGATCTCTCAAAATGGTTCTCTATTCACTTGACCTGGAAAACCCCACAAAATTATGCAAATCAGGAGATTCAGATCTTCGTGTTCACTTTAAGAACACTCATGAAACTTCCCAGGCCATCAAGGGTACGCATCTCTGAAAAGCCACCAAGTATGTGAAGGCTGTCACTTTACAGAAGCAATGTGTGCCATTCCATTGTTACAATGGTGGAGCTGGGGTTGGGGAGGGGTGCCCAGTCCAAACTGTGGGGGTGGATGCAGGGTCAGTGACCCAGAAAGAGTGCTGAATTTTTGCCTCGCATGCTTAAAAATGCAGAAAGTAGTGCTGAACTTCAGGGTTTAGATCAGGGGTCCTCAAACTTTTTAAACAGGGGGCCAGTTCACTGTCCCTCAGACCGTTGGAAGGCCAGACTATAGTTTTTTAAAAAAACTATGAACAAATTCAGTCCAAACTGTGGGGGGGGATGCAGGGTCAGTGACCCAGAAAGAGTGCTGAATTTTTGCCTCGCGTGCTTGAAAATGCAGAAAGTAGTTTGAGGACCCCTGGTTTAGATGTCAATTCTCTGGTCATTGAGCACATCCAAGTGAACAAAGCTCCCAGAATGTGGCACAGAACTCAGAGCTCAAGGGCGGATTAACCCACACACCAGCTCTCCCTGCCACATGGAGATGGTCTTTCCCAAAAAAGAGCTGATTGAGGACCCAGAGTTTCCACTTGTGGGAATATATCCAAAGAAACCTGAAATACACCCAGGACCTTAAGACTCTCTCAGCTGCAGCAGACACATCTTTATAGGTAACCAAAGAAGAACACTTGGTTATTATCAGAGGAGGAAGAAGCAGCAGTATCTCACTTACTCCGCCAAAAATAATTCACTTCTGAAAGGAAAACCTCCTTCAGAAACGTCTCCTCTTGATTGGTTAAAACAAGCTCTAGATCTTATTCACTGGTTCTCGGTCTTCTCTTTTCCAGAAACCTTCTCTATGTCTACCCACAGAGGCTGAACTTCACTAACAAGCTAACATCTGCCCGGAACATTACAATCAAGATCCAGTTCATGTGTGGAGAGGATCCGAGCAACGCTATGCCGGTAAAGACAGAAGTAAACATTTGCCTCAAACCAGGGTGTGCTGAACTTCCCTTGTCCATTCACGCGGACAGAACCCAGGGCTCATGAACATGCCGAGTATCTCTGTCTATTCAGGACAGCACTACTCAGCATGTGCAGAGGCCTTAGTGGCTAGTCCATTATTGGTCCCAGCACGCTGATGGGGAAACAAGGTCAGTCTACATTGCAAGTCTCTTTCCTAACTTATTCCATAAGGAGCTATGAAAGTTGGACATGCAGATTATATTAGAGGACTGAAAAATATCATAAAGTCCATGCTACCCTCATAGCATGAGAAGTAGACAGATGGGCCCAGTGTGTCTCCCGTGTTTGCTGCACTTCCAGATGTGCACTGCAGCATGCAGCTGCGCATATCCAGTCCACCTCGAGAGAGATGTGAAGCATGCCTACGAATAATAAACACATGCCGCCTCAACACCTTCTGGGTCTGGCTCTTCATCCTGAGGCAAAATATAAATCCAGTAATAAATATATAATGCAGTGTTCTCTAAGAAAACTAAAATGCCAGAATTTGTATTTTTTTTAATCATCTGCTGCGAGTGCTGTTAGCTGTTTCTATTTTCTATAAGTCATAGAATTCAATTACTAAACCTTTCTACTGAAATAATTTTTTTCAGGGCTTCCATTCTCCAAATATTTTCTTCTTTATTTTTTAACCATCCTTCTAATGCCTCACCTACCTTCCCAATGCAAGGCCTTCTCTTGCAATGGTGGTAGGAGAGAAATCCTAGAGGAGGACTCCCCTGATTCTCTGTGCTCTGGCTCATGGCAGGTCCACCAGAGCTGCTGGTTATGGCTATGCAAATCCTGAATGGAACCAAGTGCCCAGCCAAGGATGAATGGGGGCCAAACTCCAGCCTGTTCTCTAATCACCAAGGGATTATTGCATCTAATAAAAAGGGCCCTTTTTTCTTTGTCCGGAAGTGAATCCACTTGACAAATCATGTACCGTTAAGGCTGAATGAAGCCCAAAAGGTGTCTCTTTCTAAATAGCCCAAACATGTGAACAGGGAAGGTCCTGATCACCCCAGTGACCAGGCCCATGTCTTTGGAGGGAAAAGAGCAGGGATCTTTAACTGATGTGACTTTGCCCAAAAATGTAGACCTCTAGGCAGTGAGGCAGAGTGGACAGGGCACTGGTTTCCCAGTCTCACAAACCTGGGGACTTGGGGTCTCACTTTACCCTTCATAGCCAGTTATTTTGCATCCGTGTGGTTGGGCTGGTCGTAGAACTCAGCACTCTTAACTTACACAGTATAGCTGTATGAGAACAGAACGTCCTAGTGGGCTGATGATGGTTGGTTTCATATACCCAAATATCGCGGTTAATTTGGTCCTTTTTATATTGGTCAATAGGTCATCTTTGGAAAATCCAGCGGGCCTGAATTTCTGCAGGAAGTGTACACAGCTGTCACATACCATAATAAGTAAGTGTATTGCAGAGTTCTAAACATATGTCAAGATTGTTTCATTATTTGGTGGCTTTTCTGAATCCCCGAGGTGATTCCTTCCAATGGTTCTTAAAATTCAGGGACAGAGGAAATTCATGCTAGTTACATGATTCTGTGTTACAGATACACAATTTTTGCCATTAACTAAGATTGAGAGAAGAACATATGCTCAAGAACTTCATAGCGTTTTGATTTTCTGGAGCCTTCTATCTAGTATGATACAGAGAAGTTTCATGGTGTTAAATAAATACATTTCTTAACTTGCTTTGAAATACTGGAGGGGCCAGAAACAAAATCGAGCTCTTGTCTCCTTGTCTACACCACTCCACAGCTACTCCACTACCTAGTTTAAGAAAAATTAAGTTGACAAAAGGGGAAATGGAGCACTCATTATTATCGGGGTAAATTGAGTTCCAAAATAGTGTGTAAATTATTCCATTTTACAGGTAGGAGAGGGAAATCTGTACAGGGTCAAACGGACTTGGCCCATTTAAGTCTTCCTCTAAACCCTCATTGCCGGGTTGGGATGAGGAGTAAGTGAGTAAGGTACATGAAGCTCTTGGTAAAGTATCTGGGACATTGTAATTCAGCAAAATCAGGTTCCTTTTCCTCCTGCTTCATTCATTTGTTTCTCCAAAATCCTTCGATGTGCCTGTCTCTGTTCTTAGGGTATAGACAGAAAATGAGGTCACAACAAGGCATTGAACCTCATCCCCTTTTCAAAATAAGTTGTTGGATTTTTCCATTGTGTGTGGAAATCCTCCACCCCCACCCCCAAAGTCTTCGGTTTCTAAGTGCCCTTATGTAAGTGAAGTGTATCTAGTGACATAAGCTTGGTCTCAAGGACTTCCAGCCAAGGAGCAGAATGCTGTAAAGTGAAAAGCAAAACACCAAGCAGACAAATTCTGAGAAGTAAAGGGTCTGTTGCATTATAATTTATAGTCAGAGAAGTCGTCATTCTTGCTAAAAGTTATGTGTGTATAATGTGCTTTTGAAACAGGTCTCCAGACTTCTATGAAGAAGTGAAAATTAAGCTCCCTGCTAAGCTCACAGTAAATCACCACCTCCTGTTCACCTTCTATCATATCAGCTGTCAGCAGAAGCAAGGAGCCTCCATAGAAAGTCTCCTGGGATATTCAGTGAGTCGTTTTCAACTTGCCAATTCATACTGCAGTCCTTGGTGCATCCAAGGTCCCTGCAGAGATAAACAACTAAATTCTATTCAATTGCTTTTTTCCTGTCACAAGTAACAGAATATACCAAAACAGATTATAGTAAAGAGCAGAGATGACTCGACTTAGCAAATGACAAATTTCAGGAACGGAAAGCTAGTGGGAGATAGATATTGAAAGAACACACATTTATCTAAAAAATAAAAATAAAATAAAAAGCATTGTGACATTAAAATTACAACTAAACTACAGAACAGTCATCATTCAGAATTGCCTAAAGTCTAGCTGAATGAATACAACTAGGGATTTAAAGAAGAAGCCACATTGAGATTAAAAGGGGGTTGGAGATGCAAAATGGGCTGTTCCCACACCCACATGTGGCAGGTAAAAATCAGGAGGAATATCTTGGCTGGGAAAGTTCCCTCCTGAGGAGTGAGGGGTCCCAGCCCCAAAGTAGGCCCCTCCAAGCCCAGGGTTCCAGTGACAGCAAGAGAAGTTCCCATGACTTCTGGTTGTAAAAGCCAACAGGATTGTGGCTGAGTAAGACCGAGGGCTCATAGGGTCCTAGGCATTCCTCTTAAACGGCCCATGCATGTCTTACTTGGACTTAGTCCCTCTGAGCTCCAGCAATTGGGAAGCAGCTCAAAAGGCACCAGGAACACCAGGGAGGAACTGAATTGTCTGGCATCAGGGTGAGAGCTGGAGGGGCAGCTCTCTCCAAGACAGAAGTGCTGGAAGAAGCCATTGTTCCTTTTCTGAGCTCTCCCCACACAGAGCCGGCAGGCCGGCTCCATATCAACCTGGCTATCACTGTTCACTGCACCCCAGTGGTTCCCCTGAAGACCCCAACCCACCCAACTTGTGGATTCATCCAAGCTGTTTCCAATTGCTTTTCCATACAAATGGCCTGTCTTGGCTCATGCTTTATATTTTCCCAAAATCTCTCAAACAAGCAGCATCTGGCCAAAGTGTGTCTTGTATCTCTAGCAAATTGGCCCCAGGCCCAGCATTAGCAGCAGTTGGCCTTGGTTCACAGCTTGGCCTTACTGGGGCACCTCCAAACTTAGTCTAGGTAGCAGCCATCTGAAGATCACTTTGTGACTCATGTCAGATGGTCCTGGGCAGAATACAGGTGGTAGTTGACCTTGGTCTGCAACTCCCAGGAGGCCCCAGAATCAGCGAACTCAGTAGACAGCTTCAGGCCACATCAAAGTACCTCCTAACCACTTCCACAAGCTACACACTAAAGAAGTCAGCAGGCACCAGAGACCTGCTGAAGTAAGTCCTCCTCTGTAGGGTGGGCCCTTACACGGCTGATCCTCTATGGTGGCTGATCCTCCTGGCTGCCCTAGACATAAATCCCTCTCAATGACATGCCAATAGCAATCAAGGTTCAAATACAACAGAAGGGTGTACACAGCCCATACATTGTGGGTGTACCTCAAATGCCCAGCTTGGGTGATCGAGGAGGCTGTGCCACTGGATCCAACAGACATCTAATACATAAGGCCACTCTATCAAGCCTGGGAGCCATAGCAGCTCTACCTAATACATAGAAACAAAAACAGGGAGATTGCCAAAATGAAAAGACAAAGAAACACGTCCCAAATGAAAGAACAGAATAAAACTCCAGAAAAAGAACTAAACAAAATGGAAATAAGTAATCTACTAGATGCAGAGTTCAAAACACTGGTTATAAGGATGCATAATGAACTTAGTGAGAACCTCAACTGCATAAAAAAGGACCAGTCAGAAATGAAAGATACACTAACTGATATGAAGAATAATTTATAGAGAATCAACAGTAGAGTATATGAAGCTGAGAATCAAAACAGAAATTTGAAATATAAGGAAGCAAAATAACACCTAATCAGAACAGCAAAAAGAAAAAAGGATTTTAAAAATTGAGGATAGTGTAAGGAGCCTCTGGGACAACTTCAGTTGTACTGACATTCACATCATGGCGGTGCTAGAAGGAGAAGAGAGAGAGTAAGAAATTGAAAACCTATTTGAAAAAAATGACAGAAAACTTCCCTAACCTAGTGAAATAAATACACATATTAGTCCAGGAAGCACAGAGAGTCCCAAACAAGATGACAAAGAGGCCCACACCAAGACACAGCATAATTAAAATGCAAAAGTTTAAAGACAAAGAAAGAATCTTAAAAGCAGCAAGAGAAAAGCAGTTAGTTACCTACAAGGGAGCTCCCATAAAACTGTCTGCTGATTTCTCAATAGAAACTTTGCAGGCCAGAAATAGTCAAAGTGATGAAAAGCAAGGACCTACAGCCAAGATTACTCTACCCAGCAAAGCTATCATTTAGAATCAAAGGACAGATAAAGCTTCTCAGACAAGAAAAAGCTAAAGGAGTTCATCATCACCAAACCAGTATAACATGAAATGTGAAAGGGTTTTTTTTTAAGAAGAAGAAAAAGATAAAAATATGAATATTAAAAATGGCAATAAAGACATATCTATCAACAATTGAATCTAAAAACAAAATAAAAGAAGAAGTAAAACAGAAACAGGCTCATAGATACAGAGAACATTTTGATAGTTGACAGATGGGAAGTAGGTAGGGAAATGGGTGAAAAAAATGAAGGGATTAAGAAGCACAAATTGGTTGTTACAAAATAGTCATGAGATGTAAAGGAAAGCATATGGAATATAATCAATAATATTCTAATAACTATGCATGATGTCAGATGGGTATGAGATTTATCAGGATGATCATTTAGTAAGTTATATAATATCTAATCACTGGGGTGTACACTGAATCTAAGATAATATTGTATGCAAACTGTAATTGAAAAATAAAAAATGATTTATATTAAAAAATTTTAAGTTAAAGAAATAAAACCTATTAATTCAGTGATATTTCAAAATCTGTTAAAATTGGCCATTGAAGTACTGGGTATGTTGTATTGTATTTATAGTTTTAGTATCCATTTGCAAGTTTTGTATGTCTCTAAATATATTATTTGATGATATTATTATTTTTTAAATTACAGAGGGTATTTTAATACCAAAATGTATCATTGGGAAATATATATATGTATATATATATGTATATATATATAATATATATATTATGACTGTATACTTGTTTACCATGCGTTTAGAATAAACAATAGTAAGTAAAAACATTTTAAAGCATTGCAATATCTATTATTTCTAAATTTTATATATATGCTTTACATGGAGGGTGGGCAAAAATAGGCTTACAGTTGTTCATATGGAAAATTATACAATAATTAATAAGTAATAATACAAAAATAAACTCTGGTTCGCACACTCACGACTATAAACCTACTTTTGCTCCACCTGGTATAAAACTAGCTCTTTTTTTCTCCAAGGAGAAAAAAGTTGTTTCTTTAAAAAATATAAAAGTTAACATAAGCATTGATGTTGTTCAGGGACACACAAACATTAGCTTTTAAGAAAAATGCTACTACTTTGGCTCTGAAAGCAGTAAATCATTGATATTACCACCTCAGGAGCTCTCACAGAATTTAAAATGCAAAGAACTTGACAGAAATTACTGCCAAAAAGAGTCCTGGTCAATATCTAATCATCGTTTAGTTGCATTTGATTATTGTGAGCTAGATAAATTGCCAGAGTTATATGTAGTAATAAATTCCACTTTATTCTCTACATCATCTATTTCAGTGGCTGCCAATTCTCTTAAATGAACGTCTTCAAACTGGATCCTACTGTCTCCCAGTTGCCTTGGAAAAGCTGCCACCCAACTACTCCATGCATTCTGCAGAGGTAACCAGCAAGCTGGCCGTCAGCTGTTTCTTGTCCAGCCGTGATCTTAGACCACCTTCCCAGGTCCACTTCCCAGTGCCTTCAACAGGACTGAGGATGCTCAGCATGTGTTGGGGAACAGTCATCTGTCAGCATACAGTGTTTTCTGGGAACACATGGGTCTGATAGGATGGGAAAAACAACTAACCATGAAAAAACATTCATTTAGACATCACCAATTCAGAACGTTTAGTAAATGCAGCCTGCGCCAGAGGCAGTATTGCCTTGCAAAAAGGGATTCACAAATAATGTAATGTGAAAGGGGAGGCAAATGGAGCCCACTTCGGATAATAGCTGCTCTCAGCACAGATCCTTATAAAAGGTTCCTGGGCGAGATTCCATCAGTTTCTCCTATGGGTCAATTGTCACTGTCCCCAGATGGATAGTAGGGTTTTTATTCCTTTGCCAATGCCAGTAGCCTTCCCCTCCTCCTGTTTCCTGCACTGCCTCTTGCCCCATTAGAAGGGAGCCCAGTGGACTCGCCATTCTGACCACACCAGCACTGCTCTCATATTCTCAGTCTGGTTGGTGGAGGTTTATTTCAATAGTAGTATTTTAAAGAAAATCCCAGACATCATAGCATTTCATCCTATATAATAAAACCCTAATATGCAAATCGCCCGAACAGCGGAATGACTGGTTGCTATGACATGCACTGACCCCCAGGGGGCAGACACTCCAGGAGCTGCCCCCTGGTGGTCAGTGCGCTCCCACAGGGGGAGCACTGCTCAGCCAGAAGCTGGGATCATGACTGGTGAGTGCAGCGGCAGCAGTGCTAAGGACCCCTCGGGGGATGTCCACAGGAGCGGGCCTAAGCCAGCAGTTGGACATCCCCCAAGGGGTCCAAGACTGCAAGAAGGCGCAGGCTGGGCTGAGGGACACCCCTCCCCACCCCCACAGTGCACGAATGTTGTGCACCAGGCCTCTAGTTTATACATATTCTAGTATGTATCTTCAAAGATAAGGGCTCTTTTTTTAACCATTGTTGTATCTTAAAATTAATAATGCCTTAATATCTTCAAATATCCAGTTAGTAATCAAATTTTCAATGATCTCATTAATGCCATATTTTTATTTACAGTTGTTTGTTTGAATCAGGATCCAAATAAGGTCCATACATTGCTATTGGTTGACTTGTCTTTAAGACTCTTAATCTATGGATCCCCCTTCATCTCTTTTGGGTTATTTATTATAATAATTTTCAGGTTGAAGAATTTCCCAGGAATTTTAATTTAGTTCCAACCTTAATAGTCAACTTTCTTTCCTACTCTGACTACCCATCTATCATTCTCAGGCTATTTCGTTTTTCTCTTATTTCTCTTTTTCTTTGAAGAGAGAATCTTTCTTTGCCCTGGGCCACAGTCGTGTGCCCAGCTTTAGACCAAAACTGCTCTCCTCAGAACCACCTGAGATCACCCTGAGTGTGTTCACAGACATGCCCTGATTACTCTTATGATTTGGATACACAGGCCCTTCTGATGCCCTCACCGCCGCCTTTTCATCATGCACATTCTAATTTCTTGGAACCCTTAATTATCTTCTTAATGCTGCAGAGCAAACCTGGGTTTTAGGAACAAACAAATTTGGATCCAAAATCCAGACTCTGCCACTCCCTAGCCGTGTGAACATACATGGGTGAATTGCTTACCCTCTCTGTGTCTTAGCAATGAAACCTCACCCATACCTGTCCATAAGGTTGCTGTGAACATTAAATGAAATAATGCATATCAAGAAACAAACTCTATGCTGAAGTAAATATTTTTTTTCTTCTTGCTCCAAACTATCTTTATAGATATACCCTCAGCCTGAAGACTTAATATTGTCCAATACAGTTGCCACTAGTCATGTGTGGCTATTAAAATGTGGCTTGTCCAGCTCAGCTGGTGTGGCTCAGTGGTTCAGAATCAACCTGTGAATCAGGAGGTGACAGTTCTATTCCTAGTCAGGCCACAGGCCCAGGTTGCGGGCTTGATCCCCAGTGGGGGGGGGGGGCATGTAGGAGGCAGCCGATCAATGATTCTCTCTCATCATTGATGTTTTTACCTCTCTCTCCCTCTCCCTTCCTCTCTGAAATCAATAAATATGTATACATTTTTAAAAATAGGGCATGTCTAAACTGGAATGTAATGTAAGTATAAAATACAAACCCAGTTTCAAAGGCTTAGTAGAAAAAAAAGTATGTAAAATATATCATTCATAATTTTTATAGTGATTACATATTGAAACAATAATATTTAGGCTATATATTTAATAATACATGATTAGATATAATAATCAATACTCTTTAGGCTATATTTAGGCTATATATTTAAGCTATCTGTATTAAAATTACTATCATATGTTCCTTTAAATTTTTTAAATATGGCTACTAGAATATTTTAAGTGACATATGGCTCACAATATATTTTTTAGTGGGCAGTGCTGCTTAAGGTCGTAGGAGGCAGACTCCAGTGTCCCCAGGAGTTGGACTCACTGACAGTGAGTGCGGGTCCTGGTGGACTTTGTTCCCACTGGAGATTGCCCACTGAAGGTCACAGCTGCTCCTCCGCCCCACAGATCGGTGGCATTCTGGGACGCACGCCCAGTGTCTTCATATCTTCTGGTTCTCAAAAGAAGTTAGAAAAATAGGCTTTCATGTGAAATTTTCTGACTTTTAAATGTTGGCAACAAATTCGAAAAAGTTTCCAACACTGAGCCAAACGGAATTTGTCCGTGGGCTGGGTTCAGCTTTGACCCGTTTGTGACTCTATCTTAGATATTTCCAAAAGTACTCACCCCGTCCACACATTCTACCCTTGTAAATACAGCATTCCTGCCATTAAAATGGAAGAGATGCCCTGGCCACATTGCTCAGTGGTTAGAGTGTCAGCCTGCTCACCTAAGGGTCAAAGGTTTGATTCCTGGTCAAGGGCACATACCTGGGTTGCAGGAGGCAACCAATCTATGTATGTCTCTCTCTCTTTCTCTGTGTGTCTCTCTCTGTCTCTCTCTTTCTCGGTGTCTCTCTGTCTGTCTCTCTACCTCCCTCCCTCCCTTCCATTCTCTCTAAAAATCAATGGAAAAAATATCCTCGGGTGAGAATTAACAACAAAAAAATAATGCAAGAGATGCAAAATCCACACTCATGTGGCTGTGTCAGACTAGGCCCTCCTCACCCAATGCTGTATAATGTCTCCTGAGGAAGATAATTCCATGGGAATTTAAGGCAAAAAATTGCCTCTTAGGATTATAGAGCTATTAATACATAAATGACATAAGAGAGTCACTTAAAGTAATTAAAGCAGGAGCCTAGCAGGACTACTACTTGGAAATGTTTTGTTAAAAGGGAAAGTAATTGTAGGTGCTCAAAAGCATTAAAATTTTATGTTGTGTAAAGATACTCTAGGCTTTGTCTTGATATTCCTGATTAATGGGGAAATCACCAACATATTACTCTATTTCAATTCCTAGAATCAAGGATTTATCAATGCTGGGTGGGAGCTTAAAGACAGATCACTCAGTTCAAACCCATCATTTCAGCAAAGAAAACAAAGGCCCAAAGAGTTTAATTGAGTTGGCAAAGTAAAAGTAACTAGTTCAGGACAGAACAGAACTTGAACCCAGAGCTTCTAACTCCAAGGCCAATTCTATTAGTTTTCTGGGGAATTTTATATTTGAACTAGAGGCCCGGTGCACAAAATTTGTGCGGGGGGGGGGGGTCCCCTCAGCCCGGCCTGCACCCTCTCGCAATCTGGGACCCCTCAGGGGATGTCCGACTGCCAGTTTAGGCCCAACACCGCAATCTGGGACTGCTGGCACCTAACCACTTGCCTGCCTGCCTGCCTGATCACCCCTAACCATTCACCTGCCTGCCTGCCTGATCACCCCTAACTGCCTCTGCCTCGGCCCCCGCTACCACAGCTTCATCCAGAAGGATGTCCAGAATGACATCCGGAAGGTCGTTCAGCTGTCTGGTCTAATTAGCAATTACGCTTTTATTATTATAGATAACCCTGACATTTACAGTCAAGTTGCTTCGTGCTGCTTGCTAGTATTCAGAAAAAGGGATTGAATTGCTAATCTTTTTTTTTTCTTTAACACAGAAAGTCCCTTTACAGAATCCTCCTATTAAGTGGGCTGAAGGACATAAGGGAGTATTTAATATTGAAGTGCAAGCTGTTTCCTCCGTTCACACCCAGGTAAGGAACACTGAGGTCCGCTTCACCTCAGCCAGGAGGCCAATAGTGACGATGGGGGCGCAGCAGAGAACCTTCTAAGGACAGCCCAGTAACCGACCAATGAAAATCATTGTGCACAAATAAAACAAAAATAACCTTTAGTTCTTTATGGGGACTTTCCAAGCCTGTTCAGGTTTAATTTTCACTTGAATAGAAAGACCTTATCAAAAGGTTGAGCACCTAAATGAAGGAACCCAGTCCCTGCACCGTTGGCTGAGAAATTATGTGGAGAGACTCCATTTGAAGTCTCTATCTCATTCCCCTCTGGGATTCTGCCACTTCACCAGCCTTTCTCCCACTTCTACATTCCCTCCTTTTCGTGCCACTGTTAGAGTTTTGCACCCGTGTAGACCCATTTTGGGCTGTGTATGCTCACCTGGTGTGCTTGCTTCTGCTTACGGAATATGTCAGAGTCCAAATTATTTTCTTCTTCAGTTAATAGTTAATGGAGAGGGTCTATTTTGTGCACACCACTCTACAAAGCGGTTCATAACCTTGGTCTGAAACATCCATGTCTTAGAACTTGTGGTCTAAGACCTGGGATAAAGGGCTCTGCCTATGAGGAGCCATTTGATTGTGTTTATGAATTCACTGGTGAGCCTGGATGGGATAAGACCCTGAGGCCTGCTGTCTGCCTTCCCAGGACAACCACCTGGAGAAGTTCTTCACTCTCTGCCACTCCTTGGAGAGCCAGGTGACCTTCCCCATCCGCGTGCTGGACCAGAAGATCAGTGAGACGACGCTGGAGCATGAGCTGAAGCTCAGCATCATCTGGCTCAACTCCTCCCGCCTGGAGCCCCTCGTGCTCTTCCTGCACCTGGTGCTGGACAAGCTCTTCCAGCTGTCCGTGCAGCCCATGGTCATCGCCGGCCAGACAGGTAGGAGGCTGGGAGGAGGCGGGAAGAGGCAGGCAGTGCCTTGTGTTAGGAGACATGATTTTCCAGAAATCCTGGGAGCAGGGAAAGTGTGATCTTCTTTTCTGTTGATGCTGTGAGTCCAAGGCCGGCCAGGTCCAGTGCTATTTCTTACTCTCCCTGCATGTTAAAAAAAGAAATTAAGAGTGGATGCTTAAAATCATAGTTTTTAAAATAAATTTTTAAAACTATTAGAAGCAGTCTTTCAAATTCCATTCCTTGTAGTGGATAGAATTCTTGTACTTCTAAGATATTTTTTTCTTGACCAACAGGGAAATAAAATATCTCAAAAGAATAAGACAATTCATATTAAGTAGAGGGAAAGGAATTCTAAATTGAAATGCAATGTGATCATGTTTTATATTGATCCCCTTAGCCCCTGGCAACCACTCATCTATTGGCTGACTGATAGTGTATTTTAAATGCTTGCTTTTAACAAGTGAACGTTAAATACAATGTGTAAAACTTCCGTTGGAAGTAATGTCATGTAAGACGTGGGTCCCGTGGTTCTCCTGACTCCTGCTGGGGCAGATTGGCTGGTGTAGGGCATTTTTGTCTGACACTGTTTTTGGCTGGGCTTATGTTATCCCATGCTAGCGAGTCCAGCCGATGTCTTTTAGGCATCATCAGTGTTCCCAGTACTGTGCTAGCAGTTGTAGGCTTCGCAATAATCGAGAGCATAGCTGACCTGAGAGGACTTACAATAAATACAGTAAAGAGCAGCAGCATAGGACAAGAATTCTCGAAAGGACACGGTTAAAAATACTGGGGGGAGAGGAGGCGCTAGAACATCCATCTGGGAGGATGTTGGAGGCTCTAGGAAGAAGGTGTTTGCGATGACCTTGAGGGAGGTGTAGAGAGAAAGCAGCCCAAATGGAGACAGTGAGAGAGAGTGGCAAAAGCAGAGACTCAGAAAAGCACAGGAGTGCGAGGAAAGAAGGAAATAGCACAGTTGGGCTATGGAATCTGAGTAAATTGATTGGGGGGAGCGGGGGTACTTGCTGAACTCGTAGACCAGGGAAGAGCATGTCTTCTTAACCCCTTGTTTGCACTGTATCCTGGGGTGTGTCTTTGTGGTTCCATAGATAAGACATCCTGTGTTGTAGGCTACTTTCAGACGTGCAGCTGACACCTCTCCAGCGAGATTCCTGCAGAGCAGTGACCTCTCCCTTCCCTGGATTTCTTTCTATGCCCCCACCTATGTGGCACACTGCTTTGCATGTTTCAGCTATTTAATACAGACTTGTGTGTTAGACAAAAATATTCATTCACACGTCTTCTCCTTATTAAGTTGCTGCCTTGTCATGGGGACAGCAGGGTGTTGGGACAGGCAGAATAAGTAGAGGTGTTTAGACAACAAGCCTTTATTCAGACCTGTTGTTGTCAGACACAATGAAAGGCACTTGAGAGACAAGAAAGTATGAGAAATGCACTTTGCCCTGGAAGGGCTTCCAGCCTGCTCAGAAAGACAGGACTTACCACCAGAAATAGCCAACGCATGTTGGGACTTGGTGTCACTTAAGCCCTGTGCTGAGTGGTACCAAAGGCTTTGTGGGGGAGATAGGATTGTGCTGAGCATTGAAAGGTTAGTGTGATTTTGTGAGTGGGAGGAGGGCTTTCTAGGTGAGGACAACGGTATCAGCAAAGTCACAGAGATGAGAAAGAGCAGACATGTGATGGGGATAATACAACCAGTGTCTCGTTTTAAGAGAAGTGGAGGTTGAGCAGAAAAGGGTCCAAAGTTGGGTAAGTAAGGTGGAGCCGAACTGTGGAGGCTGGAGCTCCAGAACAAGACAGTGGATGTGCTAAATCAATCCTTTGTAAAGGTCCATTGTAGAGAACCACCTCAATACACACATTTTTAGAGCAATCTGTACACCAAGATGCAACAGTGCAACTCAGACCACAGGGTGCCTGAGAATCCCGGGGCATCCCGTGAAGATGCAGATTCTGACCTAGCGAGTCTGTGGCGGGGCCTGAGATTCTGCATTTCTAGCAGGCTCCTGGGTGACGCTGACCATGTCAGTGCAGACCCCGCTGGGTAGCCCCAGTTCACGTCATGGTTTAGAAAGGGAGGTTGTCTGGATAGTCTCATGGCTTTGTCATGAAAAAGCGCAGTGCTGGTGGGAGGGCGAGAATGAGGGAGGAAGCGTGACGCCATTGGCAGCATGCAGAGCCAGCAGGCCATCATCCTGACCGCCTAGCTCTCTAGGCTGGTGGTCAGGCTCCCTGTCACTGCCCTGGAGAACACTTTACTTTGGGTTCATTAAGGACCGACTGTGAGGCTTCCCATTTTTATCTTGGTTCCTCAGCCAACTTCTCCCAGTTTGCCTTTGAGTCCGTGGTGGCCATCGCCAACAGTCTGCACAACAGCAAGGACCTGAGCAAAGACCAGCACGGGAGGAACTGCCTGCTGGCCTCCTACGTGCACTACGTCTTCCGCCTGCCCGAGCTGCAGAAGGACCTGCCCAAGTCAGGTAGCATGGCCTCGAGGGTGGAGTCTGGTGGTTGGGGACCCTCACCCCCACTCCACTGCCATGTCATTCAAATAAAATAAAAAGCGTGACCATTACATTTTATTTTACAGAATGACACAAATATGACATGAATACTAAAATTAAGAGTTTATTTCTAGATTTTCCTCTTGCTTTCTTCCTGCCTCCATCCTTCTTTATATACTCTAAGCACTTACTTTCTCTGCCTGTTTGATAATCCCTCACTGGTCTTTACCCAGGGGGTAACTTTGGATTCAGTTAGGATCTCTTTTGTAAAATATGGAGAAATGACAACAGACGCCTAGGAGTCTAGAAAATTAATGATAAGGAGAATAATATATATTTGATAGTCATGATAAGCAGTGTTTCCTAAATTTGTCATTATGGAAAATTAAATCCCTTTTCTCATTTCTCTCTTTAGCCTTTTGAAATAATAATATTTCATTTCTCCATTCTTTATTATTTACATAGGTAATACTCAAACAGACCTACTGGTCAGCATGATAACCAACAAGTTCACAGAGTCCTAGGCCCCAGCAAAGAAACGGGGCCTTCTCATTAGTCCACCCAGCCTTATTTCAAGTAAACCTGCCATTTCAATTGAGTTTTTTTAAATACTGGTCTATGTCATAGACCAGTGATGGCGAACCTTTTGAGCTCGGCATGCCAGCATTTTGAAAAACCCTAACTTAACTCTGGTGCTGTGTCACATATAGAAATTTTTTGACATTTGCAACCATAGTAAAACAAAGACTTACATTTTTGATATTTATTTTATATATTTAAATGCCATTTAACAAAGAAAAATCAACCAAAAAAATGAGTTCGCGTGTCAGAGGTGTCATAGGTTCTCCATCACTGTCATAGACTCACATAATCACTTTTGAAGACAAGTAAATACTGACAGGTGAAAAACATCGAAATATAGTATACACTTATCCTCCTAAGGTTCAGATGATTCCTGGGATCCTGAAATCTCAGAAAACTTTACTTGCAAAGTTGTCATCGTTTAAATATTAATAAACAAATACATACATCCACGTTTCCAGCTTATATTGAGAAATCAGAAGCTCCATCAACCCGGAGGGCAGGCTCTCCGTGGCAATAACAGGCAGGAGCTGAGTAGCAGCCCCTGCCTTGGGATGAGGCCCGTGTTTCCAGTCTACCACAGTTCTCACCACTCCCTACTGCCTTACATCCTATCTACTTACCCCCAAATCATTGTCTTCCCGAAGGCATTTGATACTACCCTAATTCTAAGGCCCAATCTAGAAGGTTTTCATTCCACTATCTACCCCATCCCTCTTCAGTTCCTTCTCAAGACCAGGAAGTGACTCTGACCCACTTTCTATTGACATGTCTGTACCTGATGGGATGCAGGCGGCCCCACTGCTCTCCCGGACCCTCGCTACCACACGTATGGACGCACCTCTGCCGCTGCCGTGAGCTCGAAGCTGCTGCAGGCCCGGGTGATGAGCAGCAGTAACCCGGACCTTACCGGGACACACTCTGCCGCTGACGAGGAAGTGAAGAACATCATGTCCTCAAAGGTAGGGGAGAGGCCAAACCCTGGAGAGGGATGCGGGCTTTCTGTTTTTAACTAACACTTGGAGAAACAACACAACATCAGCCACGACGGCTGCCCACGGTGTTGGTCAAATGCTTTCCTGCTCAGAGTAGTAATTGTCTTTTCTTTTGAAGTGATTTCGGCCATTCAGAAAGGTGCAGGGGCATTTGAGCATCTGCTCAGCTCACTCTGTCGGGACGTTTTTAGGGCATTGCTGGTTTAGCCACAAGAAGTCAAGAATATCATGAATCTTATTTTCAAGGAAAAAAAAATTAGCTCTAACTATTTTTGATACCTAGAAAGGTTGTTTTTTATTTTGTTTTCTTCTTTTATATTTACCTTTTGCATTCATTAACATCTATAGCTTCATTATCTCATATACTAACCCCAAAGAGCAAAGCCGCATTTTATAGAGAAATAAAAACTGAGAGGTTTGGTGACCTGCCCTGTTGCTTTTTCTTGATAACGTTTTTTTATTATTTTAGAACAGTTTTAGATTTATAGAATTATTGTGAGTACAGTACAGAAAGTTTTTGTATACCACATACCCAGTTTCCCTGCACATTATAATGGTACATTTGTCACAATTACTGAACCAACATTGATATGTTATTATTAGTAACTAAAGTTCATATTTTCTCAGATTTTCCCTAATGTCCTTTCTCTGTCCAGGGTCCCGTCCAAGGCACCACATTATATCTTGTACTCATGTCTCTTTAGGCTCCCGCTGGCTGTGACAGTTTCTTAGGCTTTCCTTGAGGTATTTTGTAGAATGTCTCTCATTTGAAATTTTTAAAAGTTGTGATATAATTTACATACCATAAAATTCACGCTTTTAAAGTATATAATTCAGTGGGTGTGTTTTTTTAATTTGTTTGTTTGTTTTCACAAAGCAAGCATGAATTCTTAGTCTGAATTTTATTTCCAGTTATCTGTGGCCTCAAAGTGGCTAAGCTTTTAGAGTAGGATCATTTCCCCTAAGGACGATAAATCAAACTCTCTAGGTTTCGGCACAATTTTCCTTACAAAATCCACCCATTTGAGACAGTATGTTTTGATAAAGGGAATCTGGACGCCAGGGTTGGGTCGACTCTGACACCAGCTAGCCTTGTGGTGATAGGCAAGTCAGTGCCTGCCCTGGGCCTTATTGTCCTCATCTCTGTGGAGGTTTTGAACCCTGGCTGAACTTAAGAATCCTCTACGCATCTTTTAAAAACACTGGATCCGCCCTGGTTGGTGTGGCTCAGTTGGTTGGGCGTCGTCCATGCACCAAAAGTTTGCTGGTATGATTACTGGTCAGGGCACATGCCCAGGTTTCGGGCTTGATCCTTGGTAGAGGTGTGCTGGCGGTAACCAAGCCAATTGATGTTCAGCTCTCTCATAGATGTTTATCTCTGTCCCTCTTCCTTCCTCTCTCTCAAAAAAATCTTAAAATAAAATAAAAAACACTGGATCCACCCCCAGAGTTTCTGGTAGGATATAAGTGTACCATAGGTGATATTCTACCCTTTTTTACTTACAAAAAAACCCAGGGAGGTGTTGAAGCTGGCTCATACCAGTTTTTAAGAGCTGATTGTTAAATTTTTAGGATTTTATTTATTTATTTTTTTAAATATATTTTATTGATTTTTAACAGAGAGGAAAGGGAGAGGGATAGAGAGTTAGAAACATCGATGAGATGAGAAACATCGATCAGCTGCTCCTGCACACCCCCCACTGGGGATGCGCCCACAACCAAGGTACATGCCCTTGACCAGAATTGAACCTGGGACCCTTTAGTCCCTAGGCCGACGCTCTATCCACTGAGCCAAACCGGGTCAGGGCGAATTTTTAGGATTTTTTTAAACGTGTTATTAAACACAGACATTATTAAAAATTAAATTATAGCCCTGACCGGTTTGGCTCAGTGGATAGAGCGTTGGCCTGTGGACTCAAGGGTCCCGGGTTCGATTCCAGTCAAGGGCATGTACCTTGGTTGCGGGCACATCCCCAGTGGAGGGTATGCAGGAGGCAGCTGATTGATGTTTCTCTCTCATCCATGTTTCTAACTCTCTATCCCTCTCCCTTCCTCTCTGTAAAAAATCAATAAAATATATTTTTTTAAAAATTAAATTATATAAAATAACAATTAAATAAGTTATAGTAAAAACAGAGGTAACCTAAATGCAGGGTGGTATCCTGGATTGTATCTTGGAATAGAAACAGGACATTAGTGGAAAAGCTGAAGAAATCCAAATAAAATCTGTGGGTTAGTTAATAGTAATGTGCCAAGGTTAATTTCTTAGTTTTGACAAATGTACCACAGTTATGTAAGATATTAACATTAATGGAACCTGGCGAAGGGTGTACTAGAACTCTGTACCACGCTTGCAACTTGTCCGTAAATCTAAAATTATTCCACTTCACAAATGCAGTACTCAAACCTTATCCCTTCCTAATTATTCTACTGCATTTTACTATTATCTGTGTTCTTGAGGTTATGTCTATTGTATCTGTTTGGTGGAAATACTATATAATGGTTTGCTACTGCACATCTCTTCTCAATGTTATGCTCAAAGCCATCGTGTTAACTTGAAATCAGCCACAATGGAAGAAGTTACAGCACAGAAATTGGCAAATGCTACAATTCAGGCCCCCCTTCTCCACCCCTTCGAGAGCTGGTGGCTAAACATTTGCCAGCACACTGTGGTTCAACCTCATATTTAAGGTCCCTCTGATTGCCCACGGGAGATGTGATCTATAGTTATCACTGACAGCCTTACTCATAACGGTTTTCTGTAATAAAAGTGAAAATATTAAATTCTATGTAGAGTAGGTTATGACTTTTCTAATTTTTTGTAGTGAGGGGAGAAAAGTTTGTCCGAAGTGGTTTTTGACAATTTCTTACAGTGCTGAGGAGGCTAGTTACAGTACCATCCTAACCCACAGAGAGGCACTGTTCCCATACATTATTTTCCTGCTCTCCCAATAAAGTCACAGACTGAGACTGTTGAAGGGACTATTACTAGTAAGCACCCCTGGTACTTAACTAGGTTTCACTGTAAGTAACTACACACCAAACTGTGGTCAGTGGTTGTCTCAGGCGCAAGTTGAACTAGGTGTAACTTTACCTTCTTTTGTTTTGTTTTCTATTTATGTAAACAATTGTTTTACCTTTGTAACCAGGGTAAAAGTAGAAAATACATTAAAAAGGAATTTGGAGGTGGTGACTTCCCGGCCCCTGGCTCATCTTGCCAGTGAACCACTGTTGGTTGCCTGTTGAGTGGTGGTTTGTGTATTTCAGATTGCTGATCGCAACTGCAACCGGATGTCTTACTATAGCTCTGGCAATAATGATGTTCCGAGTGCAACTGGAGCCCCAAGGCCAACCAGCAAAAAGGTACTGAGCAGGGCAGTGTAAGGACAATATTTCCCACCCTTCACACACACACACACACACACACACAGATGTTTGGGGCCCTGTCCCTATCCCCCAGGTAATTACCTACTAACTCAATGGTTCTCCAACTTACCATGCATCAGATATGCCTGGGAGGCCTGTTAAAACTGATTGCTGGGCCCTCTCCCCAGAGCTTCTGATTCGGTAGATCTGAAGTGGGGCCCAAGAATTTGCATTTCTAATAAGCTCCTAGCTGATGCTGGTCCAGGGACCACACTTTGAGAACCACTGCATTAGCTTTTTTTTTTTTTTGAGAAGGAGAGATGGGGACAGTTCATCCTCCACCAAAGTGCATGGCAATAATGTGGCATCAGTTATTTTAACAGTACTTATATTAAGGAACTATGAAATGCTTTCTCATAATTCTTTCTAATCACCCTTTCCTGTGAGTTCAGAGACTTTACAAGCGGTTAAACTGCTCACCAGAACTCCTTATATTAACAAAATTCTCTGATCGTAGTCCCTGACTGTGGTCCAGAGGTGGAGGGGGAAAACTGTCTGTCCCAGGTTTCTTCCTCTGCCATGCACCCAGGATTCTCATGTTTATAGTAGCTACTTACGTTAAGGCAGTGGTTCTCAACCTTCCTAATGCCGCAACCCTTTAATACAGTTTCTCATGTTGTGGTGACCCCCAACCATAAAATTATTTTCGTTGCTACTTCATAACTGTAATTTTGCTACTGTTATGAATCGTAATGTAAATATCTATTATGCAGGATGTATTTAGGTGACCCCTGTGAAAGAGTCGTTCAACCCCCAAAGGGGTCGCGACCCACAGGTTGCGAACCGCTGCGTTAAGGTCTTGCGTGTTTGTTAAGACCTCTAGTAAAAGGGAAGCCATTCGCAACAGCTGACACCTCAGGAAAATGTCTATTAAACAGGCGAGGAAGAAATGAACTCAGCATAACTCACTTGGGACTAGGTGAGGGAAATACCAAGCGAGCGGAAGCCCTGCAGGGCTCATGCGACACTAACCCAGGCCCCATAAATCTGGGGAGAGGTACCAGGAGTTCATGGTAAAAGAAGTGAAAGGAGATATGGGTAGGTGCTGAAAATAAACTTTTCACTGACTCTAAAACTTAGCTTTGAGCTTTGCAGTGACTGGTGACAGGGACCATTTTCCTCCTTGAAACCATGATTTTCCTACAGCCTGACAACCTCAAGGCAGGGCTGGTTTCTCCCAGGCGCAGTCATTATCTGGTTTTGTACTTGCTTCGTTTTAACTTGGCTTCTGGTCAATGAGATAATTTCATTTCCGAGGGAAGTTTAGCCGGTGTGTTTCCTTAGGAGCTGAGCAAACAGGGTCCAGCTACTTGGCTACTTCCTGTAACCTCTGGAGCAAGGTGTCCTTGTAATACTGTTGCCCGGTGAGCAGCAATTCTTAAACGCAGTAATCCCTCTTAATCTGTTCTTGCCGTAAGACTCAGCCAGTCAAGCTGACCTACTTTCTGGAGGTTCCCTTTAAAGCCGGTAGAGTGTTCTCTCTCCTACAGTGGAAAGATCGTGTGTAACCACGTTACATCATGTGCGCACTTAGACCACCTGCCAGACTAACACTCACCTCATGCCTCTCCAGGTGGGAAAGCTTCCCTTAAGACTCCCAACAGCAAACAAATGTATGAACGTGTATTAAAATTGTAGAGGTTTGACTCGCCTAGCAGAATGAGTGGAACCCACTGACTAGCTTCATTCAGCATTCTCCATTCATCACCAGAACCAGCCAGGGATGTAAATAGTTAGAATCCCCAGACATCTGAACATGGATTTTCCATTTGTCCCCTTTTAGTATAGCTGAGTAACTCTCAGATTTCAATGTCCATGAGAATTAATAAATTGGGTTACATGCATTCTGTACATTGTGGGTAAGTTAAGGCTTAGTCAAGGGCAATCTTTGCTATAATCAGCTTTTTACTTTAGGTGTTGAACTTAAAACTTACCTTCAACATAAGCCAGTGCTCTAGGGTGTGATATTAGGGTATTCAAATTTTATCTTTCTTACCCACAAAATGATAAGCAGTAACTTCATCTGCCTTTCTTCTAGGTTTTGTGGCCATTAGATAAATGAAATCCATAGAAAATGCCTATTTTTGTCATTAGTTAGGTTGACCAACCATCCCAGTTTGCCCAGGACAGAGGGGGTCTCTGGGACTTTCATTTTAAGACCATGACAGGCTCAGGCAAACTGAGGTGAATTGGTCACCTACCTTTAGTTTTGAACTTCGTTCCATCAAAACTTGTCAAAAGCATTAACAAGTAGCCAGATAAATGAGGGAATGGGAAAGGCACAAAAGGTATAAAAATTACCATTTACTCTCGAGCAGTCAGGTGACTTTAAGGGAAGTGTGGACATAAAGTGGAGCTGAGGACTTTTCAAGCATCTGACCCTGGAACATCAGAATTTAGAAGTTGTGAGTTCAGGCTGATGCCACTATGCCTTTTACTGCAGAGGATCTGCTCATAAACCCAGCCCATCATGTTTCCCACAAAGCCATAGCGGGAGTATTAAAAACAACAACAACTGTCCAATCTGGAAGGGAGTTTAAATACCATCTAGGGCAGGCATTGGTTCTCTAACAGAGGTCCCCAGGCCAGCAGTGCCAGCAGGAACTTGTTAGAAATGCAAATTCCCAGGTCCTGCCCCAGGCTCACTGAGTCTGAATCCAAAACTCTGGGGGTGGACCCAGCAGTCTGGGTCCTCACAAGCCCTCCAGGGGATCCTGCTGCACAGTCATGTTGGAGAACCCAACGACGGATTTCATGGGTGAGAAAACTGAGGATAGAGGAATGGCTTGCACACAGAGGGTTTGCTGTAGGATCTGAAAGGAAAACCACAGGCACCCCCCGTTCTGACGGCTACCCCAGAAAGCAGATCCCCTCCCAAACTGAGGCCATTCCTTCAAACCCAGCTCTCCTGTGTGATACCACCACCAACCTTCTCCTACCGACCTAAATGTTCACCAAGCTCAGGTTATTGCAGCATTGGCTTTGCCATCCACCTGTGGTCTAGGACAGCCGTCGCCAGCCGGTGGTCCGTGGTCCGTGGTGGTCCGTGAGGTCCGAAAGGTTGGTGACCACTGGTTTAAGGAAACCTTTGGAGCAGCGGTTGTCAACCGATGGTCCACGGACCACGGTTAGTCCGTGAGGTCTGAAAGGTTGGTGACCGCTGGTCTAGGACATGTAGGACACATGTGTCAGTAACTAACAAGCTATTACAATTGGTAAGAAAGAAAAGAGGTGTTGGAATACGAAGCATTTGTCCTCACAGACGGTCATTACATGAATGTAATGTTTCTTTGGGTGTTTATCATCTAGCATTTCCATGAGGAGCTTGCCCTGCAGATGGTGGTCAGCACTGGAATGGTGAGAGAAACAGTCTTCAAGTACGCCTGGTTCTTCTTCGAGCTCCTGGTGAGATTCTCGCATGTTTCTGTCTGTGCTCAGTAGGGCATGAAAAGCACATGGCAGAAAGGCAGTGATGTGTCCCATAACAGGAACTGACATTTTATGCACCAAGTTGCTCCTGCTGAAAACCTGAGATCATTCCTTAAAATCTTACTCTCCTTCACCCCTCCACCCAACCTCCACCAAATCTTGTTTTTTTTCTGTTTTGAAAATCTACCTCCAACACCTTGGTTCTCACCATCTTCACCACCCACCACCAGGCCAAGCCACCATCATCTCTCTGGTGCCTCTTGCAATAGCTTCCTCTTTGGCTGCCTGCATTCATTTTTGCCTGAGCCCATCCAATCTGCACAGGGCCCCCCAATATTAAACAGATCACATCATTCTCCTCTTAAAAAACCTTCAATGATTTTCAGAGTATGAGAAATAAAGCACACATCTTTGTCATGGCCCCCAAAGCCCTCGTAATTCTATTTGCTTCCATCTCTAACCGACTCATCTCCCGAGTGGCTCCACATGGCATCCTGGAGCTCTCTTTGCAGGCGTGTTGGCTTCTCTGCATATAACAGTGGCTCTGTCCTTCATGTAATTCTACTAACGGCTGCTATCCCTGAGAAAGGAAAAACAATAGCATTGAAAATGGGTTGTACATCTTACTATGTTTGTGCCGGGCACAGTTTTAAGCACTATCTCATTTAATCCTCAAACAGCCTTGAGACGGGAGTTTTCTATGGGGTCCTGGGAGGGTGGCGGTCACAAGGAGGAGTCTCCAGGTCCACCAAGGCTTCCTCAGTCCCGCTTTGCTGTCCCTCACTGCAGGGAGCTAAGAACCATGGAAAAGGTACAAGTTGCTTTTGATCTTGCACATTTATTTACTGGGACTTGGTGGGCCCAGGAGAGAAAGCAAAAGCTAAAGCGCTGGGAGGGAGGGAAGGAGGACTATCCCTTATGCTAAACAGATGCTGGAAAGAAAGCTCTTGGTGATCCCAGCACATGGAGGAGGTTGGTCGACATGCAGGTCACCCAAGACACGGTTACCCGGGGCTCTACATGTATAACCTAAGTCTGTCAAGGTCCTAGCAGGACAGCGTTGGCATTACGCAAAGGGGTCAACTGAAAAGCATTTATCGGCGGGACTCTGCCCAGGGTGTACACAAGTTACAGAAGCAGATAAGGGTTGGTGAGGCACCCAGGGAGCTGCAAGTGCTGGAGGTTGTTATTCTAGCTCTAAAGAAGCCAGGGTGGGGAGCACTATAACAGTGCCTAGAGAACGCTAAGGCAGAGGAGAAGGTCCCCAGACAGCAGCTGGAGTCTTAGGGAAATGTTGCCACTGCCAGAACCATGCTGTGGCAGGAATGAGGGCATGGAAAGGATAAATACCAGGACCTCTCCATTCTCCCGCCCACTGATCCCTTGCTGGTGCCTCCCTTGGCCACTTCCAACCAGAAGCCAAGGAGAGGTGTAGTCCACGGAGATCAGCTTCCCAAGGTTCGGAGATAGACAGAAAGGGGGAAGGGATGGATCTAAGGAAGGGCTGGGTGGAAGCAAATGGAAACGATCAGCCCCGGCCAGAACTTTGCAAGGAAACTGGCCTCAGACTCAGACAGGGTGCCCAGTCCTCCGTGCATTGTTTGTGCATTTGCTTTTCAGATGCCCAGGAAGTTATTTCAAAGCCAAGACAGTTTTTTGCCCAAGAAGCTTGATGAGAAAGAAAGCTCAGCCTTCTTGAACTTAGCCAACAACCTGGGAGATTTAACACCTTTCTGTTGTGTTAATGCCCAAGCAGTAATGAACAACCACTTTGGCATGAGAGCTGCCGAACACCCTCCTTTTGTGAATTGCACACTTGCTAATGAATAAATCCCCGTGCTTCTGTAAACTGCTGAGCCAGACTTTGGGGACCCAGAGGTAAATGGGTGACCTAGTTTGCTCAGGACAGGAACGTCTGCACCAAGGTGTTCTTTAGAGGTACACTTGTTCTGAATGGGTCACAAAGGCCAATATGAGGGAAAATATTTTCCTGCCTTACCCCACCCACAAATAATGGGCCAAGCACCCACTAACATTTCTGCAGGGTGCTCCTCTCTAGCCATACAGAGGACACAGTAGCTGGCAAGTTGCTGACCGCCTGGAAAGAGGCCATCTGCTGGAAGTGTGGTATTGTGAGAATTATTTATTTGGTTGTAGGATGGCCAGACGCAGCAGGCAGGAGCCGAACACCACAGTGAGCTCTAAAAGCTGGGTGCAGGGTAGGGAGCCAGCAGAGAATCAGGACTAGGGTAGCCCAGAACAAAGAGGCCTTGTGTTCCCAGGTCCTTGGTTAGCACAGTGAGAGACACTCTGCCAGACAAAAATGGGGTCCAGTTCCCACCCCTCCTCCAGGTCCTCTCACCAAGAGTGTGAGACTCTGTGGGATGCAGATATGTCCGTGGGTCCTGAACCACAAAGGACTTGACAGTGAAGAAAAACTATGGTTCTTACACTGGGCTTTCAGATTCTGTGTTCTTAGGTCTTCCCCAAGCTGGCCATGGCATTATCTTTTTTTTTTTTTTGTAAATCCTCAACTGAGGATATTTTTCCATTGATTTTTAAAAAAATATATTTTATCGATTTTTTTACAGAGAGGAAGGGAGATGGATAGAGAGTTAGAAACATCGATGAGAGAGAAACATCGATCAGCTGCCTCCTGCACACCTCCTACTGGGTATGTGCCCACAACCAAGGTACATGCCCTTGACTGGAATTGAACCTGGGACCCTTCAGTCCGCAGGTCGACGCTCTATCCATTGAGCCAAACTGGTTAGAGTGATTTTTTTTTTTAGAGAGAGAGAGAGAGAGAGAGAGAGTGGAAGGGAGCAGGAGAGACAGAAAGAGAGAAACATTGATATGAGAGAGACACATTGATTGGTTGCCTTCTGCACAAGCCCCAACTGGGGCCGGGGATCGAGCCTGCAACCGAGGTCCGACTGCCAGCTTTGGCCTGCTCCCCCGGGCCTAAGCCAGCAGTCAGACATCCCCAAGGGGTCCTTAGTGCTGCCACAGAGGCGAGAGAGGCTCCTGCTACCGCCACTGTGCTCACCAGCTGTGAGCCCAGCTTCTGGCTGAGTGGTGCTCCTCCTATGGGAGAGCATCTGCCCCCTGGTGGTCAGTGTGCGACTGGTCATTCCACCATTCAGTCGATTTGTATATTAGCCTTTTATTATATAGAATATATACGTATATGTATATATATATTTAGTTTAAGTATATATTTAAATATTTAAAATATAGATAAAAACAGATCAGTCTTATAGAACTCAAGACATAATTTCTCTTAGAAGCAATGTTTAAAGTAGTGGTCAAGATTCCAGCTAGCATGCTATAGAACTGCTTCTGGGGAAAATTGTGCTCTTCATTTCAACTTGAGATCCCAATAGGAGAAACGTTTCTTTCCATTTCTCCTTACTGTAGTTTCAGGGATAGCAGGGACTTCAGTTCACATCACAAGCAGTTTCATAAACAGTCCCCCTTCCGGTGGTGTGCTGTGTGCTATGGCAGACTGGTGGCTAAGTGGCCTTGGGAGCCGCACGGATCTGCCTTCCTGGACATAGGCAGTTGAGTGAAGGGGAGTCTCATGACACGGTGGCTAAAAATTAAGCTCCCTGGCTTTGTCAGTAGCAAGGAGGAAGCCCCCTGACTTGGGGTCAAAAAGAGGACACCCTCCCACCTCCTGCCACCATGGTAACCATCTGTGTATCAGGAGCATTTTTAGTCCCCAGCCTGCTTGGGTAACTACCAGCACAGATAAAGTGTTAGAAAGTCTGTTGTTAATGAGCTTTTCTTCCAGCCTTTCCCCGTTTCCACAGTGCACAAGCAGGTCACCAATTTCCATGTTGACATTTCCCCCATCCCTCTATAGGTGAAAAGCATGGCTCAGTATGTACACAACATGGACAAACAGGACAATTTTCGGAGGACTCGTTTTTCCGACCGTTTCAAAGATGACATAACTACCATTGTTAATGTGGTCACCTCGGAGATTGCAGCCCTTTTAGTAAAGCCTCAGAAGGTAACTGTGTCGTGTGACTCTTTATGTTCTAAATTTTTTACCTTGAACATGTTATTTTCATAATCAGAGAAAAATAAGCATCATCTTAAAGCAATAATTTGAATGTAACTAACTATACCTGACAAGCAAATGCTGTTTTTTAAAACTGAATGGGACCTTAGAATGGGACAGGAGGTTTACTCTAAAGATATTGCAACATCTAATTACAATAGTTTGAATTATTATATCAATGTAGAAATGAGAGAGAATATTCTTGTCCTTAGGAAATATACCCTGAAGTATTATGGGGTAAATGGGCATGATAATTGCGACCTCCTTTTTTAATGGTTCAGAAAAAGAATTGTATAAAGGGAATGATTAATGTAGCAAAATGTCAAATATTTTTGAACCTAGTTGAAGGGTATACAGGAGTTTTTGTACTATTCTTGCACCTTTTTGGTAAGCTTAAAATTACTTTAAAATAGAAAGTTAAACATATAAAATGAAATGAAACAAAAATTTTAAAGGCAACTATCAAATTTGAAGCAGCAGTGATCATTATTAATACCTTTATCATTATAAAGAACGTGTATAGCACCAAGTGCTCAGGAGAAATAACCACTTTTTCTCATGGCGAACGTTCTGAGAATGGCAATGATATCTCCATTTTGGCAGGCATGAAAAATGAGGCACAGTGAGGTTGAGATTTTTAAAAGTCACACAGCTAGCAGCAAAACCAGGACTGACAATTCCATGCCAGAATATTCAGGCAATTATGTATACTACCCAGGGGTGGCCCGTGAGGATGCTGAGAGTGTGAGGACTTGGTGCTCCATGAGATTGTGGAAACTTCTTTATCAGGTCTACATCCATGCCAGTGGCTGGTCAGCTTGGCCTGAATAACAAGAGGAACATAACATAACAAGAGGAAAATATTTTCAAGATATATTTTCAATAGTGTCAGAGAAAACTGATTCATCATTCTGGGACTAGAAGGCATGACCATGCACAAGTGCATCTCGATTGCTCTGAAATCCTGTAAAACCCCTCATGCACATGAGCCCTGTGAAGTAATAAAAAACCCCGGTCTCACTTTATGCAATAATTCACCCGACCATGAGTGACTATGGATTCTTTTAGGGTGGGCCTGCTGCCTAATTGGAGAGAAAAAAATCCTTAGGTAAAAATGGATTCTTTTATCCTGATTTGATTTTCTGCAACAATACTTATAAGAATCTGTCTCATTGAAGATAGTGAATACATTTCAAGTTACTTTTGCCAAAACAGTACTTACCAGAATCAAATAAATTATGATAAAGCCATCTGAAGAAATATGAGAGACTAGGATGTAAGAAAATGTTTATTATGTAACTAGAGGGCCGGTGCACAAGATTTGTGCACTGGAAGGGGAGGGGAGGGGGCAAGGTGGGTCCCTCAGCCCAGCCTGTGCCTTCTCACAGTCCGGGACCCCTCAGGGGATGTCTGCCTGCCGGCAGTCAGACAACCCTCTCGCAGTCTGGGACCCCTTGCTCCTTACCGCCTGTCTGCAGTGGAGGCAGGAGAGGCTCCCACCACCGCCACTGCGCTTGCCAGCCTTGAGCCCAGCTTCTGGCTGAGCAGTGCTCCCCCTGTGGGAGTGCACTGACCACCAGGGGGCAGCTCCTGCATTGAGCATTTGTCCCCTGGTGGTCAGTGTGCATCATAGCGACTGGTTGTTCTGTTTGGTCAATTTGCATATTATGCTTTTATTATATAGGATGTTGAATGAAAAAATTCAGGGCCCAGCATTATATAAAGAGAATGAGCTCACTTATATACATATAAATATACATGTAGGGGGAAAAATTAGAAGGAAATGTACCTTAATATTAGCAGTAGATAAAGAATTACTTGATTCAACCTCATGGCATCAGTTAAGTTTTAAACTATATTTGCTCTAATGGTGCAGGGTTACCTGCTTAGCCCAGTGTCTCCTAGAGGAAGGAACACTGATTATAAAAATAGGACCTGCCTCTCCCAGCTTTCCCACCAGGGACCAGGGGGTTCATGACCAGGGTTTACCACAAAGTGACTTGAGTGTTTATATGTTTGTTTTTAAGGAAACCGAACAGGCGGAGAAGATCAACATCAGCCTGGCTTTCTTCTTGTATGACCTTCTCTCACTTATGGACCGTAGCTTTGTGTTTAACCTCATCAAACACTATTGCAACCAGGTGAGTGTTCCCTCGGACACAGCCGTGTTGTCCCTGGTTCCTTCTGGTCTGTGTGATGCTCATTGTCATGGTGAGCTGTCTTATCCACTGCCAAGTTAGACAGCTTGGCTCTTGTACATTCTGAGTCTTATGCCGTAGATATCCCTAGACACACTGGTTTGCATGGATTCCTAAAGCATTTACCAACCCAATACAGAAGGGTTAATCTAAGGAAACTGAAATTTGTTACTGATATGGTCAGCTTTCTTCAATTTACATTTAACAGAAATTACATGACCGTAGCATTCGATCTTTGACCAGGCATAGAATTCAAAATATGAGGTCTCTTTTCACATATTAGGATAATTAATTAAAGTGCATGAGGAGGAGGCACGTCCATTGGCAAGGATGAGACATTGGTTTCCTGTGCCAAGGCGAGAGGTGTTTATGATGATATATTGAGGGTTTAAAGGTCCATCAAAACCCTTCTTTCTGTGCTTTGCCTTAAGCGAAGCTGCCTCTCATTGGCAGCCTATTGAGTCTGGATCCTTCAGTTGTCACTTTCCCCAAGAAAAGCACGAGATCTCTTCCAGACTGTCACCTGTGTCAGCTTTTTGTTGCTAATTTCATGGTTGGTTTGTTCAAGGGAAGACTTTTTTTTCTGAAAACTCTTCCAGTTTTCTGTTTCTTTCTCCTCTCCCTCTTTGAAGCAAACTCTTTGGCTTTTTTTTTTTCAAAGTAATTTGATGCTCTCATCCAGGGAACTGGCTTGAGAACTTCCTGTTGGGGTCTTTAATTAGAAACTACAAAAGAACACTTGTGGCATTAAAGCCACCCAGTCATATTCCATTAGTTTTGTGTGGCCCCATGTGGGCGCAACTCCTTTCATTTAGTTTCTTGGACACAGTAGGGTTTTTGTAGAATTAATTATATTCTGTTACACTGAAGACATACTTCCAGATATGAACAGAGGCTTGCCTTGGTATTACAGATTTGACAAGACTGGGATTTGGGGCAAGAGTCCTTATTTTGGGCAGTTTTTAGGCTAGGAATCATGAGGGGACACAGGTAGTGTATGAAAACCTTTTGGGCCTCCCTGTAATACAGAGTTTGCCATCTGTGGTACTGCCCCATTCATTTTTATTAATCTGGGGTGAAAGGATATTTTTGTGTCTGTCAACCTCAACTCCATTCACCTTATAATAAATGCTTCTTTCCTTTCTTCATTGTTCTCCCCAGCTGTCAGCCAAGCTGAACAACCTCGCGACGCTCATCTCCATGAGGCTAGAGTTCCTGAGGATCCTCTGCAGCCATGAACATTACCTCAACCTCAACCTCTTCTTTATGAGCGCAGACACTGCTCCAGCATCTCCCTGCCCCTCCATATCTTCCCAGGTAACCCGTTACCTGAAAGAGTTATACACACGATTTCATTTAATTAGCTTAATTTAGTAATTTGTTCTCTAAAGGTTGGCGTTATTAATTTTTAAAGAATCAAGCCTGGTTGGTGTGGCTCAGTAGTTGAACCAGGAGGTCACAGTTCAATTTCTGGTCAGGGCATATATCTGGGTTTTGAGCTGGATCCCCAGTAGGGGGTGTGCAGGAGGCAGCTGATCAATGATTCTCTCTCATCATTGATGTTTCTATCTCTCTCTTCTTCTCCCTTTCTCTCTGAAATCAATAAAAATATATTTTGAAAAATCAAGCTATTGAAACAGATCAATTGATTCAGATACATATAAATATGCTTCCCAAAGTTGTACCACCTAACTAATCATTTACATAGTGAGTGATTGATTTCTCTCTAGGCTCTAGGCCAGCCGTGGGCAAACTACGGCCCGCGGGCCAGATCCGGCCCGTTTGAAATGAATAAAACTAAAAAAAAAAAGACTGTACCCTTTTATGTAATGATGTTTACTTTGAATTTATATTAGTTCACACAAACACTCCATCCATGCTTTTGTTCCGGCCCTCCGGTCCAGTTTAAGAACCCATTGTGGCCCTCGAGTCAAAAAGTTTGCCCACCCCTGCTCTAGGCTCTAGAACAAGAAACCCATATATACTATGAAAAATCAGAAATTTGTAGAAAAGTCACGTCTTCTTTTGTCTCACATTAATCATCTTTCTACTTCAGCTTGACAGTCTCCTCTACTCACTTCACTTTTCTGAAACCCTGCACCATGAAATTTATGAAGTTGCAGGTTCCTTTATATTGATTCCAAAATGATCTAATAGTGTTTTTTTAAAATATATTTTTATTGATTTCAGAGGGAGAGAGAGAGAGAAACATCAATGATGAGAGAGAATCATCTATCAGCTGCCTCTAATAGTAGTTTTTAATGTGGATATTATATCCTTGATCTCTCTCAGAACTTTTTGCTGTTACTGTTATAGAATGGAATTCAGCACAAGATGAGTCCACCTTGAATCACATTCCAGATCATTTGGCTCATGAAACACTGAAAAGATGGCACCATAAACTAAGCAAATGGACTGTTGTATAGGGAATATATTTCTAACAAGTTTTGTTCATGATCAGTCAGAAAGAGGAAAACTTGTATTAATATTTATACACAGGAGTTCCACCAATCATTTTTTGTAGAACAGAATTTTTCAGGTTAGGCTCAGTGGGCCCCGGATTCTATAGGATATTGAGAGGTATTATGCAAATACAGGATTCCAAAGTCTAATCCAGGGGTCCTCAAACTACGGCCCGCGGGCCACATGCAAATACAAATATTGTATTTGTTCCCGTTTTGTTTTTTTACTTCAAAATAAGATATGTGCAGTGTGCATAGGAATTTGTTCATAGTTTTTTTTTAAACTATAGTCCGGCCCTCCAACGGTCTAAGGGACAGTGAACTGGCCCCCTGTTTAAAAAGTTTGAGGTACCCTGGTCTAATCAGTTTGAAAACCCTGTGTTAGCAGGTTTCTTTGCAGAAGGCCAACTAAGAGTCTCTGACTTGGGGTAAATTGTAAATGCCCCAGGGGCGGAGGAGGCAATGGAAAGGAGGTGTATGATGAGCAGTGATTCCCAAAATGATCTGACTCCAGAAACTTCTGTTTTTCCTCCATAGATTTCTCAAGGGGCTAGTGTCCTCTAGAAAAGCTTTAAGGAAATGCTATTTTTATAGTCACATTTCATTTACAGGGAACAAATCAGTAGCTCAGAGAAGCAGGTATGATTTCTCAATATTGGGTTCTATTTTTGTTGCATATTTCTTGATAGTAGCACAAAGGTGAAGGTCTGTCTTATTAATTAAAAAGTAATAATCTTGGCCATTCATGCCCAAAGACATGATCTAGATATTGGCTATGCGACCATCTGAGTGAGAACTGGGAACGGTGTCTTACAAGCTGCAGTTCCAAATGTGCTCACTTTGCCCCAGGTCCTTGCCCACGTTCCCTCTGACTACCCCAGGGAGTCAGCAAACCCAGGGGCCAGCCGAGTCCCACCAAACATCAAGGATTCCAGAGACATTTTAGATTCTCTTAGTGAAATATCAAGTGTGCTGCAGGATAAGAGCACAGGAATTACCTGGGACTGGTCCATCTGACACTTCCCTGCCTTGACACCGCTTTTAGTTTCCAGGCCAGCAACATTCAGACACTGTGTGTAAACCATGTTTAGAAGTGCAGCTCAGTATACAAGCCCTGTTCACTATAAAGGGGGCAGTTTGTTAGAGAGGAATTTCCTGCTCACAGCTGCAGCGTTGGGTCCCGTTCCCATTTCCCTGTCCAAGTGTCCTGGGATTTTCATCTTCAACTTTTGGTTGCTTGTGAGGAAGGGAGTGTTCGCATCATGTGACAGAACCTGAGTGCTTTATTTTCATCTTTCCCAATGGGCAGTTTTCCATCTGTGGGGATGGGAAAGCTAAGTGACCACCCTAGTCTCGGTTTCCTCATCTGTCCCATAGGGAGAGTAGTGATGATCCTGCCTCACTGGGTTGTGCTTACCAAGCTTGGCCGTACTCATGCTCAATAAATACCGGCTCTTGTGGTCTTAGTCCCAGTTCTTGTTACTCAGACAGCTGCTCCTTGCATTTCTGTAGAACTCGAGCTCCTGCTCCAGTTTCCAGGACCAGAAGATCGCCAACATGTTCGACCTGACTCCTGAGTTCCGCCAGCAGCACTTCCTCACCGGCCTTCTCTTCACGGAACTGGCTGCTGCCCTGGATGCGGAAGGGGAAGGGTATGTTTCTGACACTAATAATGGGATACGAAGCACACACAAAAATGCTACCTGCTACTGTTTGCAGTTCGACATTCAGTCCCTCGCACCTTTATACCCAATAGGATGGCTATAATAAAAAAGACTGATAATAGCAAGTGTTGGCAAATGGAATATGGAAACTTCATGCTCTCCTGCTAGGAATGTAAAGTGGTGTAGCCACTGTTGAAAACAGTTTGGCAGTTCCCCTAAAAGTTAAACATAGAGTTACCATATGACCCAGTAATTCTACTCTGTGGTATAAACTCAAGAGAAGTAAAACTTATACCACACAAAAACATAAACAGAAATATTCATAGCAGCATTCACAATTCATAATAGTCAAAAAGTGGAAAGAGTCCAAATGTCCACCAGTTGATGACTGGATGAATAAAATGTAATATATTCATCCTGGCCATCATGGCTCAGTAGGTAAGCATCGATCTATGAACCAGTAGGTCATAGTTCAATTCTTGGTCAGGGCACATGCCCAAGTTGTGGGCTCGATCCCCAGTGTGGGCCATGCAAGAGGCAGCCAATCAATAATTCTCTCTCAGCATTGGTGTTTTTATCTCTCTCTCTCCTTCTCCCTTCCTCTCTGAAATCAATAAAAATATATTTTAAAATAAATAAAATAAAGTGTGATATATTCATACAATATTATCCAACAATAAAAAGGAATGAAAGACTTGATGCTACCCTATGATGAATTTTAAAACATCATGCTAACAGTGACCCAGGACTAGAACACAGGTAGTCTGTGTCTGAGCCATAAATACTTCTACCCAATTTTTCTTGATTTTCACATTGTCACCCCATTGTTTAGGAACATGCTGGTCACTCCTTATTGTTTAAGAGCATTTTGGTCCATCTCCCTTCATCATAACCTCTAGCCTTCTGTGTTGTGCCAACAGGATCAGCAAAGTGCAAAGGAAAGCTGTCAGCGCCATTCACAGCCTGTTAAGTTCTCACGACCTTGACCCGCGCTGTGTCAAACCGGAAGTGAAGGTCAAAGTCGCTGCCCTTTACTTGCCTTTGGTTGGCATCATCTTGGATGCTTTGCCGCAGCTCTACGACTTTACAGGTAACAATTCCTTCTGTTTCCTCCTCTGGATTGACGGGGACCCTGCCCAGTGCTCCACTAGAATGAGGTTTCTGTCATTGGCTCCAGGGCGGATATGCTTAAGGGAACAGGTCTCCACACCGTGCTCTCCAGACCTTTTTAAGGCCCCAATAAGTTTTATTTTCTTAAGGTACATAACCCTGTCTATGTTTTTATTTAAAGATTATTTATTTGTTCATTCATTCATTCATTGGTCTGATGGTGTATAATAACCTTTATAGACCATACACCACAAAGGACGAGATAATAACAAGATCACCCAACTTTGGAGATTCCTGCTCTAATGCCTTGAAATAAAGGTGTTCCTTACCTTCTGAGAAAAGAAGCAGCCTCAAATGAACCTAAACAATTGTTACATGCAAAAAAATATCCTGGTGTCTTTCAGGATTAGGAAAGTCTGCCATGGGGGAGGAATTTTGCCTTTGGCACTAAGAAGTTGATTCTGAGGTCAGACGTCAGTATCTCTCACACATAGGAAGGGGGGAAAGGATAAATTATCTCAAAGGTTGGAGCATATTACAGTGTGGATTTGGAATGTAGGTGAACAAAACTACCCTATACCTGAGAAAAGCAATCCCATTGCCTACCCTCCCCACAACACACACACACACACACACACACACACACACACACACACACTCATTTCTGATCACTTCAGAGTGGTGCTTGCTTTTCCCCAAACTGAAGGGAAGTTCTTGGAAATGACCATGCTGCTCTCTTGACTGATGAAGGATCCTGGGGTCTGAGGAATGCTTACATCAGCCCAGCATTCTTGTGGGCAATCATCCTTGGAATCTTAGAACCACCAAAGTTCTTGCTTCCTCTAAATGCAAAGTGTCGTGTGTGATTTAATTATTTCTAAGATCATTATGGTGATAATTATTTAGCTCAGAAAATGAGCAAAAAAATAACGGGCAAGGAAATTACAGAAGCAAGCTTGGCACACAGGGTGAGTGGGCGGCAGGAGGACGTAGAGCTTCCTCTGGGTGTGCCTGACTGGAGGGCAGATAGAGAACAGAGTCATCTTCAAAATTTGAAGATGTGGCTCAGAGCAGGGCAGGTGTCTTGCAGACCATTTCTAGAATTTTGTGTGAAAGTTTCTAGAAAGTTCCATTTGAAGACCCATGATTGGTTTGTTTCCAAAGCAGGGAACCACTTTATCACACATTCTCCAGAGATTCCTTGTTGATTAGAATTTTCCAAATAAGTTATTTGGGATCAAAACTTTTTAGCAATTCGCTTTTGAATCTTTTGTGTCTTGACTATTTCTTTACATATGCATTGAACTTTATGGTCATAATGAGCTGACAAGTGGGAAAACAATAAAAAGTATTCTATTATTAATATGGTATAGTATCTATTGTATATGTAATCTTTAAATTGATAAACTAATAAGAATATAGTCTTTAGAAAGAGATACAGCTGAATTCAAACTGCAGCCCATTTATTACTATATGTGATCTTTGATGAGATCCTCAACCTTTTCTCAGATGTAAAACTATAATGGTGCCCACATCATAGATGAAGTGAGAGGACATTTTGTATAGCAAGTGTTTAGATCCTTCCTTCCTTGTCTTATAGCTATGACCCTGTGCATATTTAGAGGGAGAAAAAATGTATCCTCAAATATCCCTATATTACCAGATCTTGTATCATTTCCATGTGCTATTCATTTTACCATTTGTTTAAAGACCCAATTGCCTTAAAATACAATAGTGAATTATTATTTTTAAAAATTGAGTTCTTAAACTGCATCCTTTTTTCAGAATGTTAGCAGATGAAAATACTGTTTTCACTGTACTTTAAAAAAATTGAAGGTCCACTACTGATAATATTGACTGGTCTAATAAAATGAGTTTTTAATGGATCAATCAGGTGCAAGTGTTTTAATACACTTTTCTAAGAATTTTCTAAATACTTTATGTGTGATTGGTAGTATTTTTAAAAACCAACCTTTTTTTACTTGCCTATATCTAGACCTATGTATAAATATAGATATGTCTATATTACATAGATACAATAAATTAACATTCATTTCAAAACATTTAAAAATAAAGTATTGCTGAATTTGTGGTAATAGCTTGTTATTCTATAAGGTATTAACTAATTCTGTAATTATAGGCTCCTTTCTATTTAGTTATTATTTAAAATATATGAATACATTTTTAAATGTTATAGAAAAGTGTTATGAAAGTTCTGAAAATTTTTATTTTAACAACTAGAAAAATTAATTTCTAGCATAATCTTGAACTGGATGTTCTGTCTCTTTTATTATAAGCCTCCCCGCTTTCCCCTATATACAGTAGCAGATAAATAATGTAACCATCAGGTTTAAAATTACTGTGATGACCTTAGTGACTGATAAGGATCAGGTACACATTGGATATTGGGTTTAGGACATAAGAAATCATCACCATCTTTGACTTGACATTACCAAAGATATTTTTTTAATTAGTGTTTTGGGTTTCTTTTTTTAAATTTAAATCCTTTATTGTTTAAAATATTACATTTATTGTTTAAAAATATTACATACACCTCCTTTTTTCCCCCATTGACCTCTCCCCAGCCACTCCCACCCCCCAGCACATGCCCTCACCCCCCCCCCCACTATCTGTGTCCATTGGTTATGCTTATATGGATGCATACAAGTAACCCCCCTCTTACCCTCCCCTGCCTTCCCTCTGAGGTTTGACAGTCTGTTCAATGCTTCTGTGTCTCTGGATCTATTTTTGTTCATCAGTTTCTGTTGTTCATTGTATTCTACAAATGAGTGAGATCATGTGATATTTATCTTTCTCTGACTGGCTTATTTCGCTTAGCATAATGCTCTCCAGTTCCATCTATGCTGTTGCGAATGGTAAAAGTTCTTTCTTTTTTATAGCAGTGTAGTATTCCATTGTGTAGATGTACCACAGTTTTTAATCCACTCATCTACTAATGGGCACTTAGGCTGTTTCCAAATCTAGCTATTGTACCAAAGATTTTTTTAAGATGAATTATTAGAGCAGTTTTCAGTTTACAGCACAGTTGAGAGAAGGGCATAGAGATTTCCCATATACCTTCTGCCCCAACACATACATAGCCTCCCCATTAGCATCATCCCCCACTAGAATGGTACATATCTTACAATTGGTGAACTACATCAACACATCATTATCACCTAAAGTTCATAGTTCACATTGGGGTTCCCTCTTGGTGTTGCACATTCTAAGGGTTTGGATAAATGTGTAATATGTATTCATCACTGTAGTATTATAAGTAGTTTCTCTGCCCTAAAACTCCTCTGTACTCTGCCTGTTCATCCCTCCCTTCTCCCAGTCCCTGACAACCATTGAACTTTTTACTGTCTCTGTAGTTTTGCCTTTTTCAGAATGTCATATAGTTAGAATCATATAGCATGTAGCCTTTATAAATCAGCTTCATTCCCTTAACAATATGCATTTAAGGTTCCTTCATATATTTTCATGGCTTGCTAGCTCATTTCTTTTTAGCATTGAATAATTTTCCATTGTATGGATGTACCAGTTTTTTCATCCATTCACCTACTGAAGGACATCTTGGCTGCTTTCAGGTTTGGGTAATTATTAATGAAGCTGCTAAAACACCTACATGCAGGTTTTGATGTGGACATGTTTTCAACTCCTTTGGGTAAATACCCAGGAGCACAATTGCATTGATAAGACCAATAATGTTTGACTTGCAGCTGCAGATGCCCGTAGTGGAAAAAACCGCGCCAGTGGTTCGGATGAAGAACAAGATGGGACCAGTGGAATTAACCAGAATGTGGCCCTGGCCATAGCTGGGAATCACTTTAATTTGAAGACAAATGGACCCATGCTGTCTTCCTTGGTATGTTGCACATTTCTCTAGTTTGTTTTTGTTTTGAGTCTTTTCCCATCTTCTGATGGGTTCATTCTTATATTCACCTACCAGAACCCTCCATAGAGTAGGCAGTGAGATTTCTGCCTCTTTGCTCGATGCTGGAACGAGTCACTGTGAGGCTGGCAGCTGTGGAGGGAAATGGTGCAGATGAGGCTACACACAGTCAGACGCAGCAAGAGAATCACAAGTCCAGTTCAGACCGTCTCCATGGTACCAAGATCAAGGCTCAGAAAACCAGGAAAGAGATGAAACTTGGGAAACCTGAGATTATTGCAGAGGATCAAACCAAGGCTCTCTCAGTGGGAGGCTTGAGCTATGTTTATTCTATATATTTATTATTCATACTGTGTCTGCCTCTGAAAAAAGATTGGAGGTCGCTTGATAGAGTGCTTATTAAGCAAAAGACTTCAGCTTTTCTAGGTCCCTGGAGAGCCTAAGCAGTTATCTGGCTCAGTCCCTATGCACAGACTTGGGTCTAAAGAGGGGCTCTCCCTGGAATAAAACCTCTGACTCATGGAGGTGTGATCTCTCTCTGTTTCTTGATGAGCTCTGAATGCCCGTATGTCAAGTCGATTCTCTATCATCCTGCTAATGGAACTGAGCATTTCATTTCAGAGTAGAGTGTATCTGTAAAGGACTCAACTAGGTTCTCTCCTGGAAAGGCAGTATTGAGACCTAACTCATCCATGCTAGATGACTTTCTTCTCATCCCTCCAGTATTTTTAATCTCACATTTCCCCTCCCCACCCTCACCCCCATCCCCAGTAAACCTCCATGAGGTTTGGAGGACGGAGATAAGAAAGAGAATAGACATTTGAGAGTTGACATTACTCATCCTACAGTTTGATAAATATTGTGTTTTATGACCTCCTCCACCTTTCTAATAGCCATCTTAGCAAAGTGAGATGCTTGAGGTGGTGTATGCCTTTTACATTGTTATTTGATCTAAGGGCAAAAGTTCAAATGCCCAAAGCTCATCTATTAGAAGTTATTCCCTGTGAGGTTATATCTAAAGACTTCATGTCTTCTTTTCACTGTACTCAGAAAAACTAAGTAACTTCATAAACCCTATCATTCCCATCCAAAACCAACAACATTTCCTTCCGGTACTTACAAATAGCTCATTGCAAATTCACTACAGTCCATTGGATATTAGCTACATCACATGAACCAAGGGTGCAGCCACATATTGTTCTCTCTGTTGATCTGATGAGTAACAGAAAGTATGCTCAGCACTCTAAAATGAACTCTTATGGCCCGTATACTCAAGCAAGTAGCCTGAGTTCCCACACCCATACCCAGAAAAACATCAATTGTGGTTAAAGTCACATGGATTTGATTAATTGGTTGAGCATATTATGCTTTAGTTCTCTGCTATAAGACTGCTATAAGTTGCCTAGTGTCCAGATTGAAGGAGAAATACTTGGATATCTTAGCATGGGTATCACTGAGATTGGCGGGGGCGGGGTGGGGGGTGGTCAAGGTCCAGGGCAGACCACCAGACCACAATGCTCCTGAGACAGAGAGTGCCCAAAATTATGTGGCTAAAAGCCTGGCTCAGATACAGCCCCAGGTGAGCCTGTTGGCCGATGAACCTGGCCGTGAAAGGCCGAGTTCCTGGAGACAGACCCCAGACAAGTTAGAAGTACAGTTACTGTGTTCTAAGAGATTAATGTCCCTTAAGACTTTCAGTGTTTCTGCTGCTTAACTTCTTCCTCTGCATTTGTCTCCCCATCTGCCTGCTTCCAGCCCTACAAGCAGTACAACATGCTGAATGCCGACACAACCCGAAACCTCATGATCTGCTTCCTCTGGATCATGAAAAATGCAGACCAGAGCCTCATTAGGAAGTGGATTGCTGACCTGCCCTCCATGCAGCTCAGCAGGATTTTAGATCTCCTTTTCATCTGTGTCTCGTGTTTTGAGTACAAGGTAGGTGTGGGGTCGCTCCGTTTTAAACTAGTTCTCATCTCTCAAGGTCCATCCTGTCTTGTCACTGTTCCCTTTTTCTTATTTCTGTATTAAAATCCATAACCTATTTGCATATGCAACACCTATCTGGATATGGTAATTCCTCAGGGAAAGGGCCCTTGCCTTCTGCAGAGAGAACTCCATTCCTGTTAACAAGGCTTTCAGCCATGGGATCCCCCAGAACAGTGTCTCTGTAGAGCACATGTCCGTACTGGCCGACCTCACCTCGGAGTGTTCTGTTGTGAAGAGTGTCCCCGTAGACAGAGATCTCACCAAACGAAACGTCCTTCTTCCTCTGTCCTGTCCAGGGAAAGCCGAGTTCTGACAAAGTCAGTACCCAAGTCCTGCAGAAGTCGAGGGATGTCAAGGCCAGGCTGGAAGAGGCTTTGCTCCGCGGAGAAGGGGCCAGAGGGGAGATGATGCGGCGCCGGGTCCCAGGTGTGTTGGATCCGCCCTTCCCTGTTTTCTGTCAGAGACTTCTGCACCCTTTATGGGAGGAATGCCCTCCCTCCATGAGTAGACACCATCACTTTAGTAAGACACTATGATAGTAAAGACAAGCAGGTTCTGGGATTCTGTGCCTGATGTGTGTCATGTCAGCCCTGTGTCTCTCGAGGGAACGTTGCTTTCCTGCGATCACAGGAACCCCAAAAATGTCCCCAAATGGCATCTTCAGTCTAAAACGTGTCTGTGGTAAAAGATCACCTTCAAGAATGTGAGTCATCGTATGAGACAAATGGTGTCTCTCTCAAGGCTGAAGCCTCTCCACGGGATGTTTGACTTGTCTCCTCGGAGCGTGGTCAATACACGGGGTAGTTCTGGTTTCAAGATCATCTGGCCAAGTCACTCAGGCCACTGTTAGAATGGAACAAATCCTCTCAGGGGCCTCCGAGTGTCCTAGTCCTCCAGAGACCCCACAATACCAGGAATGATCTCAGAGTGGCTGAGCTCATCGCTGTAGACTAGAGTGAAGTGCTCCGGTAGCCTCCGTCTGCTTTACTGAGCTCAAAGTAAAACAGAGCAACAGCTCACCCGATGCGACAATGCAACGGGACACAGTGGTCAGGAACTTGAAGGGAGCTCAGCATTTACATGTGTGATTGGTTACCTTCATTTGACACCCATCCTGTCCTTTCAGTAACTTAGTGAGAAGACCTAGAGTTTCACTGGAAACCTGCGTTCCTGGAAACATGCTCACCGACACTCCAGAAAGGCAGGGGTTCTACTATAGCTCTAGCTTGTCAATCAAAGAGCAAGCCAGCCCAGACATGAACATGGCCTTTGTCTCCTACCAGCATTCAGCATGGACTCTAACCGAGAAGCGGCGCTGAGTCCTCTTAGTTGACCTTGTTACAGAACTTCTGGTTATCTTGGAGGGTTTCGGGCTAATCACATTCCTATCATGCATTTCTTAACTCCTAGGGAATGACCGATTTTCATGCCTAAATGAAAATTTGAGATGGAAGAAGGAGCAGACAAATTGGCGGCAAGCTAATGAGAAGCTAGATAAGTGAGTCACTCAGCAACTTTGTGCTACTTTTACCTAAAGTTCCAAACTGTTTTTCCCAGGCTACTTGTATTACTACATCCTTCCAAGGGTAAGAAAATAAATCATTATGATCTGTGTAAATTCAGTTCATCCAGGGACTCGGTATAATCAAAGGTATAAGGAGTTATGATTTCCAGCTCTTAAACATTTATCACATTGATAAGCATTTAAAGAAAACAACTATTTAGCAATCTCAGATAGCTTAACAACAGCTGCTGATGGGGATAGCACAGGGTACCCAAGACCACATAATTTCAATTTATATTTCCTCTCCAGAAATGTACACAAAAATGTCTATTCAGGGATATTTATATCAGCATTACATAAATTTATTTTTTAATGAGAAACACTCTAAATGCTCAAGAATAGGGAAATATTAGGTTGGCATTAAAATGTTTTGAAATCATTTTAATGACACAGGAAATGCTTATGATATAGTTCAGTAAACAAAAGAAGGATAGACACTTGATTTTAGAGTAGAATCTTAAATCTCTAATTACATGTAGTAAATACATTTTTGAAATATTGGAAAAAAATTTATCATCTTTTCTTTTAATTGTTTTTATTGATTTTTAGAGAGAGAGGAAGGGATAGGGATAGAGAGATAGAAACATTGATGAGAGAGAAACATCATCAATTGGCTGCCTCCTGCATGCCCCCTTCTGGGGATCGAGCCCGCAACCTGGGCATGTGCTCTGACCAGGAATCAAACCAGTGACCTCTTGGTTCATGAGTCAATATTCAACCACATGAGACACATCTGAGGGGGGGAAATTTATCAAAATATTAACAGTGGTTTTCTTTGGGTGATTTTCTTTTAGAAATAATTTATGTTTTCTTCTTTATGCTTTGCTGTATTTCCTACAATGGATGTATTATGGTGTATATTATCGAAAAAAAATACAAAGTAATGAAAGAAGAGACATCCTTCCTTGGTCGCAATATATATATATATATATATATATATATATATATATATCTGCAATCATCTGGATATATGAGGACCATTAAAGTAAATACAGTGTGGCCTTGACTTACGAGTGTCCCTACTAACGAGTTTTTCGAGATACGAGCTCCGTCACGGAACGAATTAAACTCATAAGTCAAGGCCCCACTGTATGTTGAATATATAGCACATGTCTGCTATTCCTCTTAGCAGCAGGTAGCCCAATGAATCCCAGGGTTCACTCAGCAAAACATTGCACAGCTAAAGACACCCCTCACTTGACAAGGCCAAGGAAGGGTAACCCCATGATGTGTGAAGCCCCCAACATAAGGGAGTGGAGGGTGGGGCAGACTTGAGTAGCAAGGTTATTTTGTAAGCAAAAATATAAGTTACTAGCTTTATTGTTGCCACAAGAATGCATCATTCTGGTCCACTTATAGGACTTTTGGGGACCTAATTTATTTTAAAACATTGAACACACTTTTATTATAGATGTTACTTGGAAAGCCCTGTTATTTGGTCTTATTAATAACATCTATTTGTTCTAGGATTTTTATTCTTGCTCTGTGTCCCCTGAACTGGTTTATAAGATATTTGGTTCTGAGAGTCCATAAGTTCTAGCTCAGGCAATGAACAAACCAAAAAATAGTTTTTTAAACATGCATGCAATACAGACTGCACAGGTGGTTAAGACATCCACTGTATGCAATTAAAAGAAGAGCTTACTGAGGCATGTTTTGCTTGGGCTGTGTAAATCGATGTTTTGGGAAACTTTCCCTTTTGCTTGCAGAAACAACACCATACGGAGCCTTCCCGTGCAGGGCCCTCCAATTTTCTCTAGGTCGGTTCTCAGCCCTGAGCTCCCTGGTGGGCTGCTTGCTCACTGTCAGAGCGAACGACTCACCTCTGCAGATTGGGGTGGTATCTTTTTTTCTTTTCTTTTAAGAAACCGTAGTAAAATTGAGCAGCTCGATTTAGAAAACTTTTTTGGAAAACTTTTTGTAATTATGAATAGTGGTGTCTCGCACCATTTTCTTTCAGATCACTTTTCAGTTATTTGGCTCTGTTCCTTCTAGAGCAGTGATTTTCAGCCAGGGCTGTATGTTGGAACCACCAGGGAGCTTTTCAAGCTTCCAGTGCCCAGATGTACTCACGACCAATTAATTCGGAATCTACAGTGGTGGTGCCCAGAAATAAGTATTTGGTAAAACTCCCAGGTGATTCCCTTGTGCAGTCAAATTTGAGAAACACCATTTTAAAGGAATAGTTAATAGGCTTAAAAAAAACAGATTTTTGGTGGTGATGGTTGCATAGCAATATGAATGTATTTAATACCACCGAACAGTACACTTAAAAATGGTTAAGATGATAAATTTTATGTTATGTGTATTTTACCACAATAAAAAATTGGGGAAGAGGGACTAGGATACTCTAGACCTGCAGGTCCAATATAGTAGCCACAGTAGTAGTGTAAGGGGAAAGTACCAGATTTTGAAGATTCGGTACAAGTAAAATAATTTAAAATATCTCATTAGTAAACTTGATATTAGATTTTGAAGACAGTACAAAAAGATGTAAACTATCTCATCAGTAATATTTCTAGTGATTATACATTGACAATATTATTTGATATATTGAGTTAAACAAAATATAATTAATTTCACCTATTTCACTTTGCTTTTGTGTGTGTGTGGCTACTGCAAAGTAGAAAATGACATATGTGGTCCCCGTTATGTTTCTGTTGGATAGCATTGCTCTAAATCTAAACCTATGAGTAAATTTGTAAAAAGTGGTGTTTCTATTTCACTTATTTTACACAAATATTGTCACTCAGAGAATGAGAAAAACAAAACAACATAGGGCAGCTTGGGACCAAAGAGCCTCTCCTAAATGTGAAAAACAAGGAAAATATTTATTCTGAGGCCTGGTGGCATGTGAACAACGGCGCTGCCCCTATTGAGTGACGGGGACTCATGAGCAGCTGGGGATCCAGGGCAAGACTTTTGGGCTCACATCATGACCCGCCTCCCCGCCCCCCACCCCTGTGCTAATATTTTGGCCCCTGGGACACCTTGGGAAAATCCATTCTTTACACTTCCCTTTCCTGGCAACTAAATTTAGATGAGGCAAAATCTCCTTTCCCAGCTTCACTTGGATTTTATGAAAATGGATGAACTAATGTGTACAATGCTCAGAGTCCTTTAAATGAAACCTAGTAGAGAAGGAGCACCAGGCAATTTCCCATTCCCTAGTGCAGTGGTTCTCAACCTTGGCTGCACATTAGAATCACCTGGGAATCTTTTTAAAATCCTCCGAGATGAGGCCCAGAAATCAGGATTTTAAAAAAAGGTTCCCAGGTGATTCTAATGTGCAGCCAAGGTTGAGAACCACTGCCCTAGTGGGTAATAACCAGTAACGAACATCTGGGAGGATGTTAGATGGCCCGCCCCACAGGAATCCAATCCTGCTTCCCATTGGAAAAGGACAAAAGGCCCGCACTTGACTATGCAACCCCAAGGCAGTCTCAGGGAGGTCAAGAGACAGCCTCTTCCCTGACCCCTTTCCTAATCCAGCAGCATCGTTGCCAAATTCACATCACACCCAGTCTCCTCCCTCCCTCCAGTTCCTTGCAGAGGCTGCCCTTGGCTCAGATCTGGAGATGGTTATTCTGCATGAAATGTAGGAATGGCCCCCAAGGCCTTATGCAGCAGTCTGATTGGCTAGCCTCATTGCTAGTAGCAACCAATAATTGCCTTTCTACCCATCTTGTTATTTCTGTAATTGCCATCATTACTTATAATAATGGGGATGAGGATGGCCTGGAGACTCCACCTAGAAAACCTTTTTAACCAGACACCAACCACAAAAGGCATCCTGCACTCCTTCGTTACCCGTGTTGCCGTTGCTCTGTATTCACTCCAATCCGACTCTTCAGAAGATGTCTTTATGCCTTGTTGCATAGATTGCTATCGCTGCGATACAGCCAGGTTTGACATGTGCTCGAATTTGACCTCTTTTTTATTTCTTAGAACAAAGGCAGAGTTAGATCAAGAAGCCTTGATCAGTGGCAATCTAGCGACAGAAGCAAATTTAATCATCCTGGACATGCAGGAAAACATTATCCAGGTGAGGACAACAAACACTTGCTCTATTCAGCATGAACATACTGAAATTTAATAAAGAATTCTTTATAGAAACCTGTAAGAGAAATAAACATGATCCCTAAATGCCTTTTTTGAAAAAATGAAGTTAGGCAGTTTACAATAGTGTCCGACTTACAAATTCCAGAGATAATGAAAATTCTTCAGGCTTCTTTGAACTTGCTATTCACCTGGAGGAGTTAGATGCTTTATAAGCTGACCCTTGTAGTTAAATCTGCCGGAATGTATCAAATTTATAATGTGAATGCTGGGCTTATCATCCAGTATCCAGAATAAGGATGGTAGCTAGGGGTGTTTTTTGGTGGGTCCACTTGAGTTATTGATATCTGGTAGAGGAGCTAAGATTATGACTGGGTTAGATGTAAAAAAGAGTGTGTCTGTTTTGCATACAAATTGGAAAGTAATTTATTTGTGCCATAAACTTGCCGTTTCTGCTGTAGAAAAGTGTAGCATCACTGTGAACAGTAATACAATTCATCACACTCACTTCATCTTCTAAGTGAATGTTTCCCCAAATTACCAAGACATCTAGGTGACAGTGGGTTTTTAGTTAACCTGAAAAATGAGTCCTGACATGTTTCCAGTGAGAAGTCATTAGAGTAGAACTAGTATTGCCTTTTGGAGGCCAGAAGAAGAAAACTTGTTGAAATACAGTGGCACTTTAAATATCCAACTCTTAAGTTGTCCAAAATCAAGGCAATCATTGTACAAAAATAAAAAGTATATGGCATCTTTGATAACTTAAGTGCTTGGCATCACATTGATTATATCCTTACATAACACAACTTTGAGTGCTATATACTTAACGCCAGTCCTCACAATGTATTTGCAATTTTCAAAGAAAGCTGAAACTTGTCATTATCTTTGGTGGTTTTGATCTTACTGTAGCTGATAAACAAGTTCCTTCAGCCCCTATTGTACTGGGAAGCCCACAACTGTGTTTTGAAGCTCAAAAGAAGGCTGTACCTTGTATACAAAGAAAGAACATTGCAAAAGCTATTGCCCGGGATTATAACTTAGTTTAACAACCCAGATATAAACCCCAAATCAACGGGGAGTTTGGGGATAGTTATTTAGATGATATGTGTGGTGCTTTACCAAACCCATAAGCTCTTAGATCAAGAGGAACGGAACTTCAGGTCCCCGTGCTGATTGTCAGAAGCATCTACTTGTGTCTTCACCCCTCAGTTCACAACTCAGGGATTCAGTGATGCTGTTCTGTTCCCCCAGGCAAGCTCGGCTCTGGACTGCAAAGACAGCCTGCTGGGAGGTGTTCTAAGGGTTCTGGTGAATTCTCTGAGCTGTGATCAGAGCACCACCTACCTGACTCACTGCTTTGCAACACTCCGTGCTCTCATTGCCAAGGTAAACGCAAAATGCTTGTTTTCTTACTCCTAATTAAGAGTTAAGATTCTCGTCTAGCGTCAGACGCACAAACCCCACAGCGTCCTGTCTTAAGTGACGCTGCGGTCAAGGTCTTAAGTCTCCCCAGGAAGAAAGCAGATGCACCATGGCGAGGAAAAAAACGGGCTCTCAAACTTGAAACGTGGGCTGAACTGTAGAAATATGGAATGGCCACTCACTGGAGACATCAGAGGAAAAGTCCATTAAGCAACGTTGCCTTTCACCCCTTTTCTTTAATAGTGCCTCTGACTGAGATTGAAGTCCTGTGTGTGACACCCAGCAGTAAGCCTTTCAAAATGTCATGCCATAAAACAACAGAAAGTTTCAGCCAGGGAGAGGTCACTGGGGGAAAAAGAAGACACATGTAATACTTTAAACAATAATTTTAAAAAATAACAGAAAGTTTAGAAATAAATTTCTCTTTCTCGCAGCCTGAAGACTATAGATGTTCCTTACGATGGTCTAAGGCAGTTGGCGTTCTCCGGCTTTACTGCGAGTCTCAGTTGGTGCCTTCCACATGGGATCTTTTCCATTTAGAAAGTGAAACTCTGCTCTCCCTAGCAGGGTCATTTTCTCTTTCTTAGTCACCGGTAATTTTTAGGGAACCCAGTAAGTCAGGATCATCCCTTCAGAGTTGTGACTTTGCCAGTGAATGCAGCCTGGCTAACAACGCAATTAATTACGCAGCCCTATTCCTTGTGGTACGGTTCATAATTAAATCTCAACTCCATCATTTCATTTCATCTTCTGACTCAAGTAGCTCATTATCTTTATGGAGCGATGCATGAACTCTTCCGGGCTTTTTGCTTGTCCAAGCAGATATTTGCATATTTCAACAAGCATCCAGTCCAGAAAGCATATGAAAGTGCCTAATAGCCCCTGTGTCTCTCCTAGTTCGGCGACTTGCTGTTTGAGGAGGAGGTGGAGCAGTGTGCGGACCTGTGTCAGCGAGTGCTGCATCACTGCAGCAGCAGCATGGACGTGACCCGGAGCCAAGCCTGTGCCACCCTCTACCTCCTCATGAGATTCAGTTTTGGAGCCATCAGTGTAAGAGCTCAGACCAGCTGGGTGACCCAGAATCAATAGAGAAAGTCAGTGCAAAACATTGGTTGAGGAAATGTTTGCAGGATTGCAATTTACTTCTTCCTATGCAAAGAAAACAATTGACTATGCAGAGGGAGAGCAGCCTTTGTTTAAATTTGCATCCAAAAATGAACATCAAGACCGATGAATGCAGTGTTTTCTACGTGGGTGTTTCAATAAAAAAATGAATGAATAGATGTAGATTCAAAGCTGTCATCTGTGGGGGTTGGGGGGAATACAACAGGCAGAATAGAGATTCTGAAGAGGTTGTTTTATTTATAAATTCTGGTTGACTGGTTCCATAATGACCCGTGGAAGAGAATTTGAAACTACACCTGAGTTTTCATTGAAGCTTAGCAGCCTTTGGTGCTATTGTATTGCAAAAGAGTCAACTTTTGCTTTAGCTGGTCTAGATATTGATATGTTCTTTTGGAATTTACATTTGTGGTCATGTTCATGAGCATGCTCAAGTGATATTAAAAGATAAATTGGCCCATGGAAGAAAGGCAGGGTCCTCAGACTACATTAGGCATAACTGTTTAAAAGCCATTAGAACATTCCTCAGGGGCCTTTAGAATAGTCATATTTCCCCATGGGCCTGGAAGGGAAGGAGAAACAGAAAGTGGCGGCCTACCCAGAGTTCAGAATCTCAGAAATCCTGGCCCTGGAGATTGTGTTCTTCTGTGCAGTTTAAATAAAGTTCCAAGAAGAAGAATCTTGGCATGAAAGGAGACATCCTGTGACCCACTTTGCAGGAACCTGCCAGCCTGGCAACAGGGAGGCTGCTCAGGCCTCCATGAAAATTTAATGTCAGAGCAACATCCTATTAAGCCATTTAAACAATAATATGAGTCTTGTGCGGAGTATACCTCACATTTTATTGAGAGAAAAGGAGATGATAGTTTCAATGATGAGAGTTATTGGTGTCTGGCTCTACTGCCTTCAATGATCTACTAGCTGAGTGCCTCTTACTGTTCCATCTTTTCTTTTAACTGATGCAGAACTTTGCAAGAGTAAAGATGCAGGTAACCATGTCTCTGGCGTCTTTGGTGGGCAAAGCACAAGACTTTAACGAGGAGCACCTGAGAAAATCCTTGAGGACAATTTTGGCCTATGCAGAAGAGGACAAAGCCATGCAGACCACTCTTTTCCCCACGCAGGTAGGCTGAAGAGCATGCCTTGTCTAATGCATGAGTTGGAGATCAGCCAATAATAATAAATTCATATATATGTGTATGTCTGTGTGTATATGCATATATACATACACTGCAATATATTATATATAAAGTATATAGTTATACATTATATACTTATATATGTAATATATAAATGTCACACACACACACACACACATACATACATACTAGAGGCCCAGTGCACAAATTCGTGCACAGGTGGGGTTCAGCCAGCCCGGCCCATCGGGGTTAAGGGGGGCCGATTAGGGGGCGGGGGCTGGCCCAACACCCTGGTTGAACTCCTGGTCAAACTCCCGGTTGAGGGGACAATTTACCTTTTATTATATAGGATATGTATGTATATATATATATGAAGTGCTCAGGTAGCCTCAGTCTCATTTACTGTGGGTAATGAACATTAAGGATCACAGCTGCCAGTCTGTCTTCCTCTGCTAAGGAAGTTTCAGTCTGTCTTCCTCTGCTAAGGAAGTTTCTGGAATAAAGCATGCTGATTAATGGCAGTGTTGCTGTATGTTATAGATAGATAGATAGATAGATAGATAGATAGAGATATAGAGATATAGAGATATATAATGTAGAACCTAAGCTGACGTCCTAAGCTGTCTCCTACTTGGTATAAACAGCCCTGATGTTCTGGATTATACTTTAGGACTCTTCAGGTTGCAAATAACTGGAACTAGTTCACACTAAATTCTTTTTCACCTGCAAAGGTGAAGGCCACAGAGGATCCAGTCTAGACTCCCCTCCACTGGCAACCTCTCCTCTCCTAGAGAAGCCTGCTCCTGCTGCCCTTGCACTTTCAGTGCAATTCTAACTCATTACCCTGGGCTACAAAGCAAAGATTACTTTTTCTACACCTTTTTGCAGGTTGAGGAACTTCTCTGCAATCTGAATAGCATCCTATATGACACAGTGAAAATGAGGGAATTTCAGGAAGATCCTGAGATGCTTATGGATCTCATGTACAGGTAACCTTCTCTGATGAAATCAAAAGGGTGTCACTTGAGGGTCTAAGGCAGCGGTTCTCAACCTGTGGGTCGCGACCCCTTTGGGGTTGAATGACCCTTTCACAGGGGTCGCCGAAGACCATCGGAAGACACATATTGAATATATAATTACATATTGTTTCTGTGATTAATCACTATGCTTTAATTATGTTCAATTTGTAACAATGAAAATACGTCCTGCATATCAGATATTTACATTACGATTCATAACAGTAACAAAATTGCAGTTATGAAGTAGCAACGAAAATAATTTTATGGTTGGGGGTCACCACAACATGAGAAACTGTATTAAAGGGTCGCGGCATTAGGAAGGTTGAGAACCACTGGTCTAAGGTTTGTCACGTGGAATTCTTATTAATGTTATTATCATAGGCCATGTGGGCACACTGTTTTGGATGATACATCCAAAACTGTTTATAGAAACTGGTAGAAATTAAGTATTCAGAGAGAGTTGATTCATGTACAAGTTATCAGGAAGATCTCCCTAATTTAAAGTAAGATGCCCATTTTATAACACTATCTTCCACTTAGTATAGAGTGAGAGAAAAGAACTATCAACTGTTATATGAATTATTTCTTATGTGTTTTTACTATTATATTCAGACATACAGGTACAGTTTTATTTTAAAAAATCATATTTTACTCTGTAGCTTAAAATTTTGCTTCGCAGTACTGCCTCAGGAGAAACTACTTACAAAGACAAAATCATTCTTCTATGTTGAAATAAGAATGGTAGTACTGCCCTGACCGGTTTGGCTCTGTGGATAGAGCATCGGCCTGGGGACTGAAGGGTCCTGGGTTCGATTCCGGTCAAGGGCATGTACCTTGGTTGTGGGCATATCCCCAGTGGGGGGTGTACAGGAGGCAGCTGATCGATGTTTCTCTCTCATCGATGTTTCTGGCTCTCTATCCCTCTTCCTTCCTCTCTGTAGAAAATCAATAAAATATATATTTTTTAAAAATAATGGTAGTACTTTTGTCTTCTGTTTTTTGAGAGAAAGGAAAGAAAAGGAAGGAAACTGCTAGAGATCCATTAACATAAATATCATTTTATCAGGTCTCTTTTTTCCCATAAAGCTTTAATTAAATGCTGTTCCTTGGGGTCCAAAACACCTTAGACATGGAGTGAAAACAGCTGGGCTGATAAATGTTGGCCTTTTCTCTCATATTCTGAATGTGTAGGTAAACTCTGGGAGGGGAATTTCTTGGGGGGAAAAAAAAAAGTGGCCACACACAGTAGAAAAACAATGTCATTAACCAGTTGTCCTTGAAACGTTCTCACTCTGTCCTCAGAATTGCCAAGAGTTACCAGACGTCTCCCGACCTGCGGCTGACCTGGCTCCAGAACATGGCAGAGAAACACTCCAAGAAGAAGTGCTACACGGAGGCCGCCATGTGCCTGGTGCACGCGGCTGCCTTGGTGGCGGAATATCTGAGCATGCTAGAGGACCACAGCTACCTGCCCGTGGGCAGTGTCAGCTTTCAGGTGTGGGGCACATTCAGCTTTTCCTGCAGGGTAGTGCTTCTCAACTGGGGGCAATCTCCCCCCCCCCCGCCCTCCCCCCCAGTCCAGAGGGCATTTGACAATGTCTGGAGACATTTTTTGATATTACCGTTGGGGAGAGGAGGGAAGGTGCTACTAGCATCTAATAGGTATAAGGCAGGGATGCTGCTAAACGTTCTACAATGCTTAGGATAGCTCCCCCCACAAAGAAGTATCTTGCTCCAAATATCAATAGGGCCAAGGCTAAAAAACCTGCTTTAGTGTATTCTATTTGCCTCTTCTCATTGCTGTACTATCTTGGTTTGTTTGGTTTATTAAATTATTGATTACAATAAGTGCAGAGGCACTTTAGACATTACCAAACACTTTCACATCCGTGACTTCATTTGACCTCCCCACCAACCAGTGAAGCAGGCAGACAGATAAAGAAACTGAGAGAGCGTTTTTTCTAAGTTTATTTAAACGCTTTCTCAGAGACTCATAGTTGGCACGGTATACTGACAACCATGAGAGAATTTTCCAGACATTGTAGAAACGATTTCCCTCATGGCCCATTCCTTGGATTACACTCCCCAACTCTGTAGTATTCCACTCCCTAACCCAAAAATCAAGGAAGAACCAAACTGACATAAGGGAAAAGGGGGGCTGAATTAATATTTTCTCATGATAGGCTGACTATTGCCCATAGTCAGAAAAGGGAGCTTGTCTGCCAGGCTGAAAATTGGTTCAGGCTAGGATGCTAAGAGGCCACTGGGACTGCTCTTGCTAAATGGTTTAACACAGTATTTAGAGGAAACAAAAGTGTTAAGAGTACTTTTCTTTTAAGAAACATAATCTGTAGGAATGACCAACCCTAAAACCATGAACAATATAACGAGTACAGTAATTGAGCCCTTTGCAAGCCAGACTCACAAAGTCATTTACAAGTGTTTGCATTATTCTTGTTTGAACTTACATGATTCGTTTTATAAAAGGCTTTGTTCTCATTATTGTTTTCCAACGTAATTTTGTGATGCCATGTGAACCAGAAAGAGGGGGCAGTTGAGAGTACTTTCACAGGCAGAGAAAATAACTCACTGAATCTGTTGCTAGTGGAGCCAGGAGTTTCTGTTTCCCAGAATACTGTCCACCTGCTAAGCTGGGTATTGCCTCATATTAGTAACTCCTCTTTTCTTATGGTCTTCAATAACAGAAATATTCTATTTTTTTCATTCTCTGCAAGTAAATTATATTCTCAATTCAGAAATAATTGTTATAAAAGCCAAACATTTAATTCTCATCCCATAAAAAATCACATTAGGTTTTTGAATCACAGAAAAGAAAGTTATAAAAATCATTTAGATGTATCTACTTCTTTCATCCAATTTATTTTGGCCACTTGTTATTATCAAGGGTAAATATTATAAGTGATAGACTTTCAGTGCCGAAATCTTTAGATCTATCACTTAGTTTTGAATTGTATTGTCCTCTTTTCTTGTTTCATTAGCTGAACTATTATTCTTTTATACTTTTTCTCAGTTATTCTATTTTATATTTATCACTTTAATAATTGGTAATCCTTACCATTTTAATTTCACCAAGAATTTGGTTGATTTGCTTATAATAAGTCACGCCAAGGTGAGATAGAATAGTTATTCTAGAATCAACAGAAAACTTCACATTGTTCCTGCATTGAGGGGTGCATATAGCTGTATTTTTTAATATTCTTTATCCATTCATTCACTTAGATGATATTTATTAAGCACCTGTTTTGTCCCCATGAACTTTACATTCTCACCAGGGAAAGTGACATCATATAACTATTTCATTCCTTACTTACTTATAATTATAGTTAATGCAATAATAAAGTTGCTATGAATGTTTATAATGTGACCCAGCCTGGAGGTAAAGGAAAAACTCAGAAGGACAAGGAAGGCAAAGGGGAGGGCAGAAGGAACTGAGAAGTGCGAGGTCTTCATGATACACAGAACATGGTGAATTAGGTGTTCTCAGCTACAGAAGAGAAGCCAAATTATGTTGATGCCTTTGAGCCAATTTTCTCTCAAATGAGACATACCACATCCATTTGGAAATATATGCTTGCAGGGATGGAACACCTAACCCACAGTGACAGAAGGAAAAAATGGAATTTATCAGCTAGCATGGGGCTGTAGCACCTGCCAAACTGAACCTAAGGACCCAAACAATGTCATCAGAACTCAGTGTCAAAACCATTTCCTGCCTCTGCTTTCTATTATGTCACCTTCATTCTTCACAGGCTTCCCACACTCATTGAGAAACACTTAGGCTTACATCTTCCCAGGTTCAAGTCCAGGAGAATAGACAGATGCCTCATTCCTAGCAGTTGCTGAGAAAGCCTCAGTGCATCTTATTGGTTCTGACGGGATCGTGTTCTCATGCCTGAACCAATCAGAATGGCCAGAGGAATGGAATGAGAAGTGGAATTGGCTGGGCCAGAGTTGAGGTCCACACCTGAAGTTATGGATGGTTTTCCAGGAGGCTTTACTGTGTAGAAGGATGAAGGAATTCTGGCAGCATTAACAACAGATGTTCAGTGTTGAGTTCTTAGATGCTTTGTGCTTTAGTTTTCAACCTTGTTATGCTCCAATAAAATTGAATTTGGGGGGAGGTGGGAGCAGTTAGAGATCAACCAAAGGACTTGTATGCATGCATATTAGCATAATGAATGGACACAGACACTGGGGCGGTGGGTGCTTGCCCTCGGGGGTGGGAATGGCTGAGGGGGGACGATCAGGGAAAAAGGACACATGTAAAACTTTAGACAATAAAAAAAAAGATTAAAAAATTGAATTTTTGGAAAAGAATTGTAAACTAGAGATAAATAAATCTGTGAAAGAGAAATAACTTTGACACCACTGAATTCTACAAAACTGAGATCATTGAAATGCTATGCCCCAGAGTACAATATTTACTCCACAAATGTAGATATGGATGCAGTCTCAGATACTGCTGTTACTGTTACCTCCTAATTCTGAAGCCAGGAAAGTCTGCCCAAAATCTTTTTCCTATGACTACAGTTAATAAAGCTATATAACTTCAGATCTGTTCCTCTGCATGTAGGAAATTGCATACAGTACTAATAGTATTTGCTTTGGGGGTTATTAGATTCTTTCAAATGAATCTTTTGGACCTTCTGTTATCGCCAATCCAGAAACATCATAATAGAAAGACCAGCTTTGGAAGAAAGATTGGCTACAAAAGATTCTGAAAGCCTCCTATATTCCTAAAACCGCATTACAATATTGGAGGTGAAGACATAGGACCGTAACAACTCTCTTTTCCTAGATTGCTAAGGTAGATTCACTTGATCCTGCTAGCCAAGCCAGGAGGCAGACATATATTACTCCAAAAGCCAACTCTGATCCATTGGTAGTGGCCGACTAGAGTACTATGCTGAGAAGACTTTTGAGACTATATCTAAGCTTCAGGGGAAAGAGTGCTATGATTGATTAGTTATGCCTGCCATGAGTGCAGGAATAGGAAGGGATATGTATGCTGTTTGAAATTCCTTAAGCTAGAAAGATTTCCCATTTCTTCCATGCTCCATATGCATTTCTTCCACAGCTGGGAGACAGGTTGAAGAAAATGACTCTTGACCTCTCAGGTCCAGAGCTGGGAAGAGGCAAGTGAGGCTAATAAGGCAGAGATTTAAGGAAGTACTCTCAGGGTCAAGCAATTTCAGGGTTAGCACTTCCACAGCCCCAAGAGTAAGTGCTGCCCTGCGTTTCTCGGGGGTTTACCCTAGACCTGGCCTCAGCCACTGCATTCTTTGCCAGAGACTTCAAACTCTACAGTTTAAGTAAAGGAAAGGCATGTAGAAAGGAACAAAATGTTTGGGGTAAAAAGGATAACTGCTACATTACCATAAAATTTTCCATAGAGAAGACATTCTAATTTGCTACTGTCATATAATATTGTGGTTCTTCATCTGAAAGTCAAGTCAGGAGGAGCAACGTTCAGAAAAACACCCCAAAAAGTAAGAGTTCACTCAGCTAGTGAAACGAGAAGTCTGGTCACCTGTTATTTGGTCTTTGCCTTTTAAAAACCATGACCCCAGCTGGATGTCCCTTATGGTTATTTCCCTAAACGTTGTTCAACTGTTGTTATATTGAGGAAGGTATCCTTCCTCCTAATGGTTATTTAAAAAAAGAAAAAGAAAATTGTGAGTTTTGAAGGCCTGTTGCTCATATGTCCTCTCAGAATGATGAATCACCAGGGCCTGGACCAAACAATCACAGGCCTGGACGGGACAATCACAGGCTTGCTGCAGATCTTTGAGTGTGGCTCTCATGACATTTGGGGTCCCCGTAGTGCCTTTTGTTAGCAGGGTTTCCCTGTTCTCCAAGCTTATACTTTGATTTCTTTCAGAATATTTCTTCCAATGTGCTGGAGGAATCTGCAGTCTCTGAAGATACCCTGTCGCCTGATGAGGATGGCGTGTGCTCAGGTCGCTACTTCACCGAGAGTGGCCTGGTGGGCCTCCTGGAGCAGGCGGCCGAGCTGTTCAGCACGGTGAGTGCACACAGTGGGAGCCTGGCCTCACGCTGGGTTGAATTCCGGGTGCTGTGAATGTGGCCTTAATGGCCAAGCCAGTCCCATTTTTTGAGGACATATGCAGGGGTATGCAGGACAAGGGATGGCCAGGACAACTTTGATGGCTGCAAATTGCACCAGCTCTCCAGGGAGGTGAGAAAGCCTTTCACCACTGCAACAGTCTGCTTTCACCGCATGCTCATTGGCTGGGCAGCAGTTTCACAGCATTATTTCCTTTTAATAGGGCTGGAAGCGAAGCCACAGAGAGGTGGAATGGCTTGCCCAGGGCTACACAATAAATGATGAGGCATGTTCTCCCTGCCTCATCTTCCCTCTCAGAGAGGAGAATATTGGGGGAGAGGGAAGGAATAAATAGGCAGCATCTTCCTTCCTAATAACTGAGTTGCCCTCAGGATCTTCACGGCCAGGTCCAGCTCGCAGAATGTGGGAGCGGAAACCACTGCGGCTCCCCTCGTTGACCTAATCTGGGTCTAAACACTCCTAACAAAGAAAATATATGTATGCCGAAACCGGTTTGGCTCAGTGGATAGAGCGTCGGCTTGCGGACTGAAAGGTCCCAGGTTCGATTCCGGTCAAGGGCATGTATCTGGGTTGCGGGCACATCCCCAGTAGGAGATGTGCAGGAGGCAGCTGATCAATGTTTCTCTCTCATCGATGTTTCTAACTCTCTATCTCTCTCCCTTCCTCTCTGTAAAAAATCAATAAAATATATTTAAAAAAAAAAAAAAAAAAGAAAATATATGTAGATTAAGTCAGCGATTTTCAACCTTTTTCATCTCTCATGGCACATAAACTAATTACTAAAATTCTGCAGCACACCAAAAAATATATTTTTTGCTGATCTGACAAAAAATGTAATTCTGATTCGTTTACACCAGACAGCTATTGTTGTGTTGACTGTTTTTTTGTGTTGTTGTTTTGGTTTTATTTTTTGACAATCTAAGGAAAAAGAGGTCAGTGCCCCTGACCAGATAGTCATGTACTGCATGTTTTAAAAATTCTTGTGTCCTACCAGTTGAAAGTCTCAGGGGATTAAGTCACTGAGATTCAGGGCAGGGGAGAAAGTCTCTTGTCCATTTTCATTGTAATAATCTCCCTCTTCCTTAAATATTTAATACTCCACTATATCTAGGTGATTAATTTTTATTTCATACTTATGTTTTTTTCTTTTCTACTTTTCAATTCCAAGTTTCCAACCAACAACTTCTATGTGTTTTAATTATTGTTTTAACTATATTCTTATTTCTTTTTTCCTGACTTCTTTTTCAGGATTCAGAAAAAAAGTCCAATGTACTCCTATTTTTTCTGAAATTTAAGAAAATAAACTATTAGACTCCTGCTAACTCCTTTCAGGCATACATTGAACATCTGGTCATGAGGGGGCCCCTGATGACATTTAAGTATGCTAAATCTGCCTTCCTAAATTGCTCTTATTTTCTGCTCCAAATCTCCTGTTCTTTTTTCTTTTTTTCACTGAAAACTCCTTTCCTTGCTTAACATCAGCGTAAAGAACTATTTAGCATGTGTCTAGTTCAGTTTGAGTGCTATATAGCCATCCCAAAGATGCTCAGACATCACTTCTGCTCTGTAAAATATCCTGGTGCCCATAATAAACCCATTGTCCAGCACTGGCAGGTGTCACTCAGTGGTTAGAGCATTTGGCCCACGCACTAAAGGGTCATGGGTTCAATTCCCGGGTCAAGGGCAACGTACCTGAGTTGCAGGCTCCAACCCTGTCCCAGTAGGGGCACATGCAGGAGTCAACCAATCGATGTGTCTCTCTCACATCAATGTTTCTCTCTCTCTCCCCACTCCCTCCCTTCTACTTTCTCTAAAAATCAATGGAAAAAATATCCTCAGATGAGGATTAAGAAAAACAAAGAAAAAAAATTCTCCAGTACATAATGAACTCTGGTTTCTCTTCTTAGGTTTCCAAGGATTAAACTCTCTTTGATTTTCTTCTCTTTCCAAGGGAGGATTGTATGAGACAGTGAATGAGGTCTACAAACTGGTCATCCCCATCCTGGAAGCGCATCGAGACTTCCGGAAGCTGACCTGCACTCATGACAAGCTGCAGAAGGCCTTTGACAGCATCATTAGCAAGGTAGCTGAGGATCCTGGCCAACACAGTTACCTGGCAGCAGGTGACCCTGACCTAAAGATGCTTAGCCCTCCTTCCTCTCTAGGGAGTGATCTACCTTGAGCACATCACGACTCTAGTTCTCACCTTCCAAACAGAAAAGGGCTGGCAACAAACAAGAGCACTGACCCCAATTCAGAGTATGAAAGAAGGCTGCTCGAATTACTTCACAAGCCGGCAATGTGAGAATCTTTTAGATTCAGTTAAAAGAAGTCCTAGAAATTTTTCATGGGATTTCTTCTGTTATTATTTCCAAAATTCATTTCATAAACATTAACATTTTTAAGGCATGATTTCTGTTTATACTTTCCATAGGAACAAACTGCTTTATAACACAACAATGAAAGACTCCCATCCTTTGCAATGCAATGAATCTTCTTGAAGTACATAACTTAGGAGAGGTTTTCTTATTTTGCACATTAGGGTCATAAGAGAATGTTTGGAACCTACTTCCGAGTTGGTTTCTATGGATCCAAATTTGGGGATTTGGATGAGCAAGAATTTGTTTACAAAGAACCTGCGATTACCAAGCTTCCTGAGATCTCTCATAGACTAGAGGTAAGAAAAGTGACTCTGTGTGCATGGCCTTGTATACTTTACCAAAAAGTTAGAGTTGGTCATTATGAAAAAAGACAGAGTCATGATCTCTATATACATTTTTCCACATTGCATATATAATATGAAGGTATTAGGTGAGATCATGAGGTAAAGCAAGTTTTCTCCTAAGATTCTGTGTATGCTTGTCAATGTTTGTAAATTTATAGGGTGAATATTTATTTCCCAGACTATCCAAAACTCAAAGTCATCTACTTTCTTGTAACCCTTGCCAAATTTTAGTAAGAGATTTTCAGATTGAAGATTATTACCTTGACTTTGAAGTAATCTGCCCAAATGACTGAATTACCCTTTGAAAATGCTGTGGCCATCCTTTTGGTGTCACTGGACAACACATCCCACTTCTGACACACAGATGCTCACAGTAGCCACACCATGGACTGTGGCATAACTAACTCTTCCTGCTGATCCAAGGAAAATAAGAGTCAGTATCACAACTGAACTCTTCCTGCTGATCCAAGGAAAATAAGAGTCAGTATCATGGGCTGGCAGCCCCAAGTTCAACCTGCTGGTACTACATATGATCCAGCATGTAGCAGAAGGGAGCAGCATGTTCCTGGAGGAAAGGCTGAAGAAAAGGGAAAACAGCATAAAGAAAAGTGATGGAAAAAAGGAAGCAAACATTGAAAGAGCCAAGCACCAAGAACTTAGGAGGAAAGTCAAGGAGTGCCCCCAAAACAAAACCCTCTCAGGGTGAATAACTGGGGCCCCCTGAAATGCTGATAGTGTTTAACCAGAGATTCACTCCTCGCTATTGCTTTGCATTTAGGTCCCACTATGATATAAAACTTAAAACGCCTTTGTTGCCAAGTTTCTTCTCATGCTATCTACTCATGCCAACTAAAACAAGGGACTTTAATCCTTACGTGGCTCAAAGAAGCAGTGGCCCAGAGTAGTTAGGTGACTTACCCAAAGTCATTGAGCTCATGAGGAGAACTAGCAGTTGACCCCAGGATACTTGGCTTCTTAATGTTTCCCCAACTTAGGGCTAGAGGCATATATATTTGGTCTTCTTGTGCGCTGTGGTTTGTCACATTATGGAAAGGCTAGTGACCTCCAAGTTCCTAGGGTACAACAGGCAAGCAGTGAATAGTGCCATACCCCTGGAGCCGCTTCAGGAAATATGATGGCGCTGGTTGCATTTGAGGTGAAGCATGCATACTGTACGGAAGCATGTATCGGTTTGCAATGTTGCATTTCCTTATGTTTTTACTTTTGTCTCAGGAAAGGCTGAACTTGCCTCATTAGATCAGAGGGACTTTCAGTGATCAGTAAGCAAGTTGTCCCTTACACTTGTTCCAACCTTATTCTACTTCTGAGAGATGAAGACTTGCATTACATTAAAATAACCTTTCTAATCTGTCGGTTTCTCTTACCTAGGGATTTTATAGTCAATGCTTTGGTGCAGAATCTGTGGAAGTGATAAAAGACTCTGCTCCTGTAGACAAAACCAAGCTGGATCCTAACAAGGTATGGGGATGTTCGCAAAATATAGCCACCAGGCTCTGGTTCCCTTTGCTCTACCCCAAGAACATAAAATGACCTCCTCTGGTGGGCTCTCCAAGTCATTTCAGTGCAGCCAAGTCTTTCTGTCTAGGGTTCAACTGCTATTTGTTTAGCTCTTAAAGAAACCACACTCAAAGGTAGCAATCACAATAAAAGCTACTGCTCATTAAACACCAGCTCTGTACCTGGGACTGCATTAGGCCCTTTACATACATCATTGCATTCTCCGATGGCCCTTTGAAGTAGGTGTAGTTATTCCTATTGTACAGGCAAGAGAACTGAGGTGTGAAGCGGTTAAGCAACTCTCCATGGTCACTTAAGTGCCGAAGCCAGTACTCAGACTCAGAGCCCTTCATCCTCAAAACCATACTCTTAATAAAATCCTCAATTTAAAACATGTTAAAAAGGTGCACCTGTTCTGGCTGGGTGGCTCAGTTGGTTTGAGCGTCATCCTGGATACCAAAAGGTTACAGGTTGGATTCCCGGTCAGGTCACATACATGGGTTGCAGGTTCGATTCCTGGTCTGGGCATGTACGGGAGTCAACCAATCAATATTTCTCTCTCACATTGATGTTTCTCTATCTCTGTCCCTCCCTCCCTCCCTCACCCCTTTTCTATCTTCCCTTCCTCCTTCCCTTTCTTCTTCCCTTCTTTTCTCCTCGCCCTTACCCCCCCCCCCTTCTCTCTCCCTTCTCGTCTCTAAAATCAATAAACATGTCCTCAGGTAAGGATTTAAAAAAAATGATGCAACCTTCTCACTGACAACTTTTTCAGGCTGCAGGTAGTCCTTCCAGGCAAGTGCAGGTGAATGTGCTGTTGGGGAATGATGCAAAGGGCTTGGCGTTCAGTTTCCTCACTTCTCATGTGAGGGTGTGTCCTGTCTCACCCCTAACTAGGTGGACTACAGTACACTCTGACACTCACCACAGGAGTTTGCATCACACACCACCAGTGACAGGCTCAGTCCTCCATAGGACTGCTCTCACTTGAGACACCAGCCTCAAGTAGGGCCCCTGAGCAACCCACACTTCTATCTAGATGGCTACAAAACTGGACATTCCTGTTCACCCCTCAGATTAGATAATTCCCTAGAATGGCACAAAACTCTGAAAAGTACTATACTGACACTGTGCCTAGAAATGCAAAGATCAGATATATTCTTTACTAGAGGCCCGGTGCACAAAATTCATGCACAAGTAGGGTCCCTAGGCCAGTCCGGAAATCAGGGCCGATCTGTGGGGCGACCGGCGGGACAATCGGGGGAGGTCCCCGCTGGCACCCACCTTGGCTGGCCTGGGGCCTGTGGGCTGGGGGCAGTTCCTGCATTAAGCGTCTTCCCCCTGGTGGTCAGTCAGCATCACAACAACCGGTCGATCCACTGGTCGTTCTGCCATTCAGTCAATTTGCATATTGGGCTTTTATTATATAAGATTACACCACAGAAGGATGCCTCCTGCCCAGCCCATAGACATATGTTCATAAGAGAGTGTTCTAAACTGTTGGAAATAATCCAAGGTCAAGGAATTATTAAGGGTTGGGAACAGAGGAGCAGTTGCAATCTGGCAGGGCTACACGATGAAGAGTCCATACTCTTCTCCCAGTACTGTCCTCCAGGATATTAAGAAGATGATGCAAGTAGGGAGGAATGGGCCAAATGTAATAGTTTGTTTTTCTGCATATTTCAGAAGACTTGCTCATTTTAGACACATCCCCTAGTCTAGGTTTGAACCATTAACTGGTCAGACCTGAGCTAAGCTTCAGACAGAAATGTTTGAGGTCTTTGAAAGTGGGAATTGGCCGTGTGCCCACAATGATCTGTGCTCAGCACATGCTCTGGAGAGTCACTGGTGACACCCCTGACACAAGGTGCTCTTCTTCCCTCTTTTAAAATGCCCTGAGTAGGTTGTGAGAGTTTAAATAAGAAACTGAACCCGGAATTATGACCAGATTTCATCACACTAAGTAGTGATTTATGCTCTGAGATCAGTGACCTCACCCATCCATTTCAGTGGGCGGGTGTTGTAAACGCTATGGTCATTGTCATTTTTTTAGTTTTTTAAAGAGACCTTCTTTCTTAGTTAAGTGCCCTCATTCACTCTGCGTGTGTGTGTGTGTGTGTGTGTGTGTGTGTGTGTGTGTTTTAATGGGGTACATGCAATAAAAATTGGCTCTTTTGGTGTTCTATGGGTTTTGACAAACACATGTAACCACCACCATGATCAAGATATGTAAGAGTTGCATCACCCCAAAGTATTTCCCTGTGCACCTCTGTGGCCATTTCCTCCCTTTGCTTTAAGCCCCTGCCAGTCACTGATCTGTATTCTGTCTCTGCAGTTGTTCCTTTTCCAGAACGTCATGTCAATGACATTCTATAGGAAATCCATGGAATCCCACGATAGCCTTTTGAGTCTGGTTTCTTTCACTTAGCACAGCGCACTTGAGACTCATCCATGGTGTGGTAGTTTGATTCTTTGTATTGCCAAGTAGTATCCCATTGCCTGGATGTACCACCATTTGTTTATCCATTCCCCACTTGAGGAGCGTTTGGGTTGTTTTTAGTTTTGTCTATTCTGAATAATGCTGCTGCAGACATTTGTGTACAGGTTTTTACTTGAACATACGTTTCCATTTCTCTTGGGGATGCACGTGGAGTGGGATTGCTGGGTCGTGTGGTCAGTGTAATCTAACTGTTTGGTAAAGTGACTGTACCATTCTGCAGTCCCACCATCAGTGTATGAAAGTTTCAGCTGCTCCCCATCTTTGTCAGCACTTGATGTTGTCAGTTTCATTTCGTTTGGCCATGCTACCAAATGTGCAGCAGTCATGGTTGTTCTGGGAAGGAACGTTTGTCTCTTTGGACTAGCAGTTTGCAAACTCTCATACCAAGTTCCAGTTGGCTCAGTCAGGAGGGGTGGCTTGTGGATGTGACTTTACAGAGACACACTGCCCTCTCCTTCTCGCTGTGCTCTCTCTCCCTGGGGTGGAGAGGAGGCCTGGCTGATTGCTGAAGTCTCCCTGATGCATTCAGCTTCTGTGGCCGTAGGGAACTCAGAGGGTGGTGCCTCGGCGCTGGTTCCAGCATGCCTCTCCAGTGCGTCCTGGCTGACTGTTTGCAGAATCGCTCATCTCCTCCTTCCCCTACCTTTTCTCCCTCAGGCCTACATACAAATCACTTTTGTGGAGCCTTACTTTGATGAGTATGAGATGAAAGACAGGGTAACCTACTTTGAGAAGAATTTCAATCTGCGGAGGTTCATGTACACCACCCCCTTCACCCTGGAGGGGCGGCCGCGGGGAGAGCTGCATGAGCAGTACCGGCGGAATACCGTGCTGACCACCATGCACGCCTTCCCCTACATCAAGACCCGCATCAGCGTCATCCAGAAGGAGGAGGTAATGGTCCCCGCTGGGGACGGGCTCTGGACTGAGGCTGCCACCGAATGAGTGGGCAACACAAGCCTCCTTCATGGCAGACTGGAGTGAAATCTAAAAAGGGACACACTGGAAATACCATTTTATTTATTTATTTTTTTGTTTTTTTAAATATATTTTATTGATTTTTCACAGAGAGGAAGGGAGAGAGATAGATAGTTAGAAACATCGATGGGAGAGAAACATCGATCAGCTGCCTCCTGCACATCTCCCACTGGGGATGTGCCCGCAACCCAGGTACATGCCCTTGACCGGAATCGAACCTGGGACCCTTCAGTCCGCAGGCCGACGCTCTATCCACTGAGCCAAACCGGTTTCGGCTGGAAATACCATTTTAGTGGCTGTTCTCTCATTCTTGTAGTGCCAGGGAATTCCATTGAGGCAGCTACGTATTTCATAGCACTACTTTATATTTAAGTAGTTTCTATTTTAAAGCTCTATCTTTAATATAAATGTTTACAGAATTATAATTTAAATATGTATTTTAATGATACATTTGTATGAACTGTATATATTTACATTTTAAACACTTTGTATGAAGTCTTTATATCTGTAAAGGCTTACAGGTGAGTTAGGTGTGGTCGGGTGGTTAGTTATTAGAGACAGGAACGCAGGCAAGCAGCCCCAGGGACAAGGGGTGAAGCTGGAGGAAGGGCTCCATGCAAAGTGGATAAGGAGCCCCACGGCCTCCCAGGCCCAGCTTCCTCCTGCGACATTGCTCAGCCCCCTGTCTTCATTTAGTTTCCTCATCTGCACACTGACAGAACCTCTTCTGGGGTTCTGTGTATGGGAGACGTCTCATCCATGGGACTGATCAAGAAACTATCTCAGGCCACAGATCGTTCAAAATTAACCGTACTTTAAACATTTTAGTTTTACTTTAAAACACATCCATGTACACTTATTTGTCATTTATTTTATACAGGGCCAAACCTTCTCTGTGATTTGGGGTTGGGCTATCACAATTCAGCATTGTCTTATGTAAACCCCACCCATAATGCACTGTCTATAACTTTCAGTTTTTATTTATATAAAGCAGAGTGAGAGTTTAAAGATCCTTGCTGGCAGAATCCTCCTGGATTTTTATGAATATTTTTTAACCCTAGCCTTTTATAGTTGTCTTGTGCACACCTAATATGGCAGGAATTTTTATAGCAACTACTTTTCATAATGCTTTGCCCAAGCAATCAGCTTGGTTTTCATAGAAACAACTCTTTCCCTTTCCACACCCATAGTTTGAGCTTTATTAGATTAGGTCATTCAAATAACAAGTATAACAGGCATAATCAAGTTGGTTAATAAACACAGGTGGATTGTGATGACTACACACCTCACCGGGCAGAAGCAGAAGTGACTGAGCTCACTGGAGAGTGGCCCACATGCTCAGGTGTTCAGCAAGCGCGTCAGATAGTGGGTTTCACAAGGGCAAGGAAAGCCTGAACTAGTGACTCCGTTAAGAGGAGGATGGTTTCGAAGGCATCTGCTGTATTTCTTATTGTTTTGGACTTTGGAACACTAGGACATAAAGGCATAGCACAAAAATAAACCCATGGTCCCAAGAGGAGCCTTTATAATTTTTCTTGGCCATCTGTTGTTCTCTGAGAACTTCAATATATTCATTTGTTAGGGCTGTTTTAACAAAGTCCCACATTGCGTGGCTCAAATAACAGAAGGCATCTGCTGTATTTATTGCCTCCTAGTTCTGAAGGCCAGAAGTCAAAATTCAAAGTATTGGCAGGGTTGGTTCCTTGTGAGGGCTGTGAGGGAAGGATCTGTTTGAGGCCTCTCTCCTTGACTTGTAGATGGCCACCTTCTCTCTGTGTCTTCATATTATCTTCTCTCTATGCATGTCTCTGGGTCCAGATGTCCTCTTCTTATAGGGACCTAGGTCATACTGGATTAGGGCCCTTCTTAATGACCACCTTTAACTTGGTTACCTCTGTAAAGACCTTACCTCAAATAAGGCCACATTCTGAAGAACTAGGGCTTAAGACTTTGATATACGAACTTAGGGGGACATGAATTCACTCATAACATTCAGGAAGGATCATATCCTAAGCCAGCAGAACTTAGCAGCCAGCAGATTGACCCTTAAGAGAATTCTGTTTACCAGGAATGCACCTTCAGGGTAGTTGGAGAAGGCACACCTGATGCCAAAATCTTGCATTTTAGTGGGAAAGAAAATCTTGAGTGCTCTATTTTTAATAGCATGGATTTTAAATGTAGACATTATTACGATCAGATCCTGGCCTTCTCGCTTACTACCTGTGTCATTTTTATGGCACTGTCTTCACCTTACAACTCCCTCTTGGACTATAAAATGGAGAAAATAAGGAAGTTGTTTAAAGGAGTAAATAATAAGCATATGCAAAGTTCTTGGAACATAATAAGCACTCAAAAAATGTTAGGCCCTTCCTTCCTCTTAACCTTTCCAGATTGTTTTAAATTACTCTGAAAGCCTCCTTAGTTTCTCTTCAAATCCAGGTGCCCTCTGCCATAGCTCCAGGTTTTCCATGGCTTATAAGATCTGAAAGTGACTTTCCTACATTTCTGTCTTACGTTCAGTTTGTTTTGACACCAATCGAAGTTGCCATTGAAGATATGAAGAAGAAGACCCTGCAGCTGGCAGTTGCCATTCACCAAGAGCCCCCTGACGCCAAGATGCTTCAGATGGTGCTGCAGGGCTCCGTCGGAGCTACCGTGAATCAGGTCAGCAAAACGAGCTAGTGGCAGCTCCTCTGGTTCTTATTATTTTGATTTTCATATGTTTGCACCTTCCTTCCTTGAGGTTCATGGGGAGTCTGATCAGCACACAAATAATGTTCCTCAATTTGGGCTGAAGACTTGTGAGGTTCAGAACACTTTGAGTGACCTCTTCTGCTTATGCAACAACCCAAGGTAGAAAAGAAATCCTGGAGATTGAGTGGACCATCTAAGGCAGTGGTTCTCAACCTTCCTAATCTCAACCTTCCTAATGCCGCGACCCTTGAATACAGTTCCTCATGTTGTGGTGACCCCCAATTTCATTGTTACAAATTGAACATAATTTAAGCATAGTGATTAATCACAGAAACAACATGTAATTATATATGTGTTTTCCGATGGTCTTAGGTGACCCCTGTGAAAGGGTCGTTCGACCCCCAAAGGGGTCGTGACCCACAGGTTGAGAACTGCTTATCTAAGGAGTAGCATTTTCTGACTTGGGACCAGACTCAGCAATATGATTGAGACCTGGGGTCCTATTGAAGAATGCTTAGTCATGACCAATTTAGCCAGAGTTGTTGCAGGGCTTGAGGCTAATCTAAGAAACCTATAGGAGAATGAGGAAAGGGTCTGGAACATGCAACTTCTGGGTCAGTCATCAGATGAAGCCAGCATGCCAGGAGCCTTGCTAACCAGGAGTGACCTGGGACCAGGCTTCTTGGGCCACTTTAGATCAGACTGGATCTTCTCAGACCCGTTAGAATCCTGACTCCCAAATTCAGCATGGATTAATTAACCCAGTCTCAGATGGAGGAAGATGCCAGCTTAGTACTCTGTCCAATGGACCACTTTAATTTCAGATCTAAATCCGCTCTTGTCCACACCTCCACACTCAGAAACTCTTGAGCACTGTGACTCTTTCCTCACTCAGCACAATTGGACTCCCCTGCAAAATTCTGTGTCCACATAACGTCAAGGGAACAAAAATAGCAGAGAGGAGAAATGACTATTATATTTCCAAGATCAGAAAGTATTAGGAAGCTTTTGCTTTTGTTAAGTCCCAATCCTTTGATGAAAATAGAAGACTGTATCAGCCCACAACCGTGGACTACATATGTACTCTACATTCCCCTCTAGGGCAACTGAGCAAATGAATCTGAATGGAAGGAGCAAGACAATCTCCATTTTTATAAAAGCAACTCAAAGCACGTACCCTTCGATGTAGTATCGTTATCTTTATATATTCAAGGAAACCTATTATTAGTAGCATTTGATTAAGAAAATACATTTATGCTTCTGAGTATTCTCTGAAAACTCCAGACTCCTCCTTGAGAATCAAAGATCCCTGAAGAGTTTAAGACCTCCCTTTATATTTTTATTTGTTTTGATCAAACCAACTACAAAATTAAATGTTCAAATGAAGAAATCGTGCCAAGATTTTCTTCCAAGTAATGTCGTTTTATTTCCAATGTGCGTATTATTTTCCTACTTTCTCCTTCAGGGACCACTGGAAGTAGCCCAAGTGTTTTTGGCCGAAATTCCAGCTGACCCAAAACTCTATCGACATCACAACAAGTTGAGATTATGCTTTAAGGAATTCATCATGCGGTAAGAAGGGAAATGGCCAGGAGTTCAGTAGAGCAGAGGTTCCCAAAGCATGGTCCCCCGGCCAGCAGTGTCAGCAGCACCTGAGAACTTACAGCAAAGGCAAATTCTCAGGCACCAGCCAGACCTACTGAATCAGAATCTCCAGTAAAACTCACCCAATTCAGTAAAACTCATCAACATGTACATTTACAATTGGTAAATGTTATGATCTGTCAGTTGCAACCTCAATACTAGTGGTGGGTGTGGAGCCTTCCTTTCCCCTCATTGCTTAATTGCTTCTCAGGTCCAATCTGTGTGTGACAGCTTTTTAATGAATAGAGTAACGATTTTGTCCAGTGGTTTGCATCTTGTTATTTCTCCCCCCCGCTCCCCCCCTCTGCTTTCAGGCAGCAGAGGTGAGCAGGAGTGGAAAATGTCTGGGGGAGTGAACAGCACTCAGGTTTTCCCTCGAGTGAGCCCCAGCTTCTCCGCAGACTTGGGCTGCAGGTCGATAAGCCCAGATATGCAGGGTGAACATAAGTGCACCTTCCGACACTGACTGCTAATAGCGGAAATGTACGCGGGCCAGGCGCACTGCAAAGGGTCCTGGCCTTTCTGACTCAGCCATAAAGAAGCTGGCAGGCCCACTGCTGCAGCCCGTTCTGCAGCTCTTCAGATGGCTGCCAAGTTGGGACTTCGATCCCCTCCTACCTTTTCCTACGATAAGAAAAAAACACCTCAGGGTTTCAGGACCCAAGATGGAGAGATACAACATTCTGTTTCCGCCCCTTCTGCTCCCCAAAGCACCAAAACCCTTTTAGACACTGCAATTGGTGCCAATCTGTGTTTAAATTTTCTTCTTATATTTCTGTCTTGGTCAGCTCCGGCTGGTCTGACAAAATGCCATAGATCAAGTGACTTGAACAATAGCCATTGATTTCTCACAGTGCTGGAGGCTGGGAGGCCAGGATGGAGGTGTTGGCAGATTCAGTACCTGGTGGGGACCCTCTTGCCATCTTATAAATGGCCACCTTCTCCCTGCATCTTCACATGGTGGAGACAGGAAGAGGGAGAAAGCTCTCTGGCATTTCTTCTCCTAAGGCCATTCATCCATCATGTGGATCTCACCCTCATGGCTTATTCTTCTCTCATCTATAATAACAAAAGCATAATATGCTAATTAGACCAGACAGCCGAACAACCTTCCAGACGTCCTTCCGGATGAAGCTGTGGCGGCAGGGCCGAGGCAGAGGCAGTTAGGGGCGATCAGGCAGGCAGGCGAGCAGTTAGGGGTGATCAGGCAGGCAGGCAGGAAGTGGTTAGGGTGATCAGGCAGGCAGGCGAGTGGGTAGGGCAATCAGACAGGCAGGCAGGCA